TGCAAGACCATCAGACATTCTCGTAAGCGCTGCTGCAGGGCCCGCCGCTTGATACTGTGCTCTTCGCCCGCGGGGGTCTTTGGAAGACCTCGGTCTTCAACGTCTTCAACGTCATCAATGTCCTCATCTACATCGGTGAGAGGTGACATTGCTCGTTTTCCTTTGCCCTTGTTGGTCTTTGAATGGTCCGGGAGGTCTTTCTGACGAGACTCTCGGAGAGTTCGCGCTTCGTTTTTCAGCGCCTCTCCTTTGACTTGGTGTTCTGCTATGATGGTTTTAATGTCGTCGATTATTCCATTTGCTTCTTGCTCTGCCGTTATGAGGTAATCCAAAGCACGTTGGTATCGATCAAAGTTCTGCTCGTTGTGTTGTTGGAGCTGGGCAAAGCGAACAAGGGTTTGAACCTGAAGGGATGACTCAATTCTTGCAAGCACGGATACCAAGAATGATGACGCTTGCCTTCGCCTTACGATCATCCATGAGATTACGCCAGTTCTGGTCTCTCATAGCCTGACATCAATGAGCCCAACGGATTAAGAAAAGAGGAAAAACACATGCCTCGAGAACGTCGCCGATGCTCTTGAGGGCACCTGGCTTATCACCTGGCCGCTGCAACTGTCCGACTTGAGGATGAGTACAGATACCACGAAGCTTTCTCAACACATTCCGCAGCAGAGTAGCGTCAATCTGCCATCCTTCAGAAGCAGCAACTCCACGCGCGTCCAAACCAATTTCAACTAAAGCTGCCTCGAGATGATGATCATAAACCTTTGATACCATCATATTTTGTCTCTCAGCAAGGGTGTCATGACTTACGTGGCGTTCAACTCTTCCCAGCTCGATACTAACGAGATATCTCCGCTGCTGCGGGATGGTTAATTCGTCCTTGACTGCGGACTTGAGTGTTCTAGCATGCATTGAATAAGGACACGGAGGATTCCTTCGTCAAATCACTCGCCGGATAGCATATCGTTTAAATAGGTCAGCGAATTGTTGTTTGAATGTGTGCTTCATCAAACGATTCCACATGCGAGCTGGACCGACAACGTCGTCGACACGTAAGAACCTGTCAATGGTATCAGTGTATCGTCAGAAAATGCGTCAGTCTATCTAACCGTAAAACGCGAATGAGATCAGAAACCTGAGTACGGGCTGGTGTTCCAGATACCGCAAACGAAGATAACCGAGGGACCAAAGACACCATCTCTCTGAAGGCCAGAATCATCCAGTCAATTAATCACCAATAGAACAAGAGATCTTACTCGGATTTGCCGGTCCCCATCATTTGTACTTCATCCATAATCACTCTATACCATTCGCACATGACAAGTGGACTTCTAGGACGGTCAAGGTTTGAGTACTCCACCTGTGCACGATGAGAACGTTTGGGTGGTGCGCGGGCAACAGTCAAGTCTTGACGAAGCACGTTGTATGTCGTGATGCAAACATCAAATGTGTTCACATAGGAGCACCAATCAAGTATGTCGTCATCCTTGTCGTGAATCGCCTTTGCCTTTGCCTTCCCTTTCTTGATTGTTTGAACCAATCCGTTTTTTCCAGTTTTATGCTTCTGGGCACTGCACCGTCGCTCTCGTTCATCTTCGACATCATCCAGGGTGATGGGCACACCGACTTTGGACCAACCATCGTAGATGAGAACCTTGAGCCCTGGGGCATGAACAGCAAACTCGTCTGCCCATTGAGGTGCGAGCGCAGGGGGAGTGACGATGAGAGTAGTCTGTTGCACGTCTATATCAACTGGTATTCCAGATGGCACGTAGGCACACTACCTTGATCTCCTTCACTTCAAGCTTAGCTTCGGCATCCCACCGTTTGTTGCTAGGATTGCGATCGGGTGCTGGGTTCAGTAAAATGAGAGAAATACATTCGATTGTCTTCCCGAGCCCTGCACTTCATTAATATAACGCGAGTGAGATCAATAGTATTGCGAGGTACCTGGCTCTTCTGCAAGTATGCCCCCTAGTGCAACGTTGTCTTCTACAGGAGAAGAGCTTACGACGCCGACGAGCGTGTTGAAGAAGTGCTCCCGGCCCCCGAGAGAAATTTTCTCCCAAAACGGAGGCATGAAGAACCGGGACTGGGGAGAAGTGTAGAGAATGACACCGCCTTCTTGAGTTACTGTCTTCCCTTCGCGTAGGAGCATCCACTGGACACTACGCCGTTGGAAGGGTAAGAGTACTGGCAATAAGCCTTCAGGCTGAAGGGACTCGTATGTCACGCCTTGCGAAAGAGCGGGTGCTGGGCGAAGAATGCTGTAGAAGAATGGAATACTTGCGTCCCCTCTTGTATCATGTTCACTGCCGGATAGCTGCTGGTCTGCCGATGAAGTTAGGGTAAACAGAGAAATCAAGCGTCTCTGTAATCCTTCGAGTTCGGAAACGCGATTCTGGGAAATCTTCTTGATGTCAAATGGTTCATACAATCTGGGCACGATGATGGATACGTTGAAATTTGCGCATAGCCGAAAAGGCAACTCCTCTACAGGGTCGTAGCCACCCTCAGGAAGGGTGATCACCTGAACGGTTGTGTCGATTTTTGCACGACCTAACGACTGAAAGATGAAGAGTGCCTTCAGAAGATCATCATGCTGTGGCGTGGCATCCTCTCCCTCTTCGGGTGCATTCGGCCATGCAACTTGAGGAAGGAGGAAGAACCACCGCTCACTTTTCTCCTTGATTTCCTCAGGATAGCGGTTTATGAGACAGTCTGGCTCGCCCGAAAGAGCTAACAAGCGACTTTTGTAGTTCTGAACCCTGAACCTGCCAAGTTCAAATGTTTGAGGTTGAGAACGGTCAGGGCATAGTGCGCTAAACAGAGATAAGAGATCATGTTCCTCCTTAAGCCACCCAAGTTTCTTTGCTTCTTGGTCAGGCACGTAAGAGTTTTCATCACCACCTCGAGCTGATTTCGTGTAATGCATTTCGAAAGAGTATTTGAAGACCGGTAGAAACTGGCTTTCGGGATCAACTTTTGGTTCCTCATAACGACGTTCTTCCCATATGCAAGGGTACACCTGCTTGTGAACCGGGTCTCGCCAGTCGTCATTGCATCCTTCCAAGGACATTTCCGACTGATCGTCAGCATCCAATTCATCGTCACCCTCAGAAACCCTCCGTCTCTTTCTCTTCACAGGTGATGCAGAGGCAGAGCGTCGCCGCTTGTTCCCCACGTGTTGTTCGACTCCGACATCAGCTCCTCGTACGCCTTCATCAACTTTAAGTGCTTCATCACGTACGGCATAATCTCCTTCGCATTCGCCTGAATTCTCTTCCTCGAGAGGTTTCAAAAGGGTGATTATGGTGTTCAAGTTGATTGCAGGACGAAAGTTGTCAAAATCTGATGGTCTGAGCTGCTGCGAATTCCAGAAGTACGAATGTTTGTGGCGAGCAGACTCCGTATATCTTCCGTTGATGATACGGATATCCATCTCAGACAATTACTTGCATGCGCGGGTCCGCAGTGAATGGTGGTGGTTAGAAATAATGGCGCGGCATGCGGATGATAGGGCCGTTTGATACGCGACGGCTGTCACATGATCCTGAACTTAGGTTGATGTGAGCGCCTCGTTTTGCTAATACTTTGCTATCATAATATTGCGTGGCTTTTCATCATCAAGTCTTTTCAGAATCCACTTGTACTTTTTGTACGCGTTGCAGAAACACAAGCCTTAGGTTTTGGTCATCTTTGTGAGACACTACAAACTTCAAAGTACGTCGATATATATCCTCAACTTGAAAATACAACTTCGCCCACACTATCCGCAGCACTTCATTTTCACGCGAGGTTCATCTTCGAGTGGATACGATACACTCGATATTTGGTGAATCTCTCCTTGTATGTATCTTTACCATGTTACTTTTACAATGACGATCACTCCAGTACCCTGTTCCGCCGTCCCTACCTCTCAACCCCTCCCCCTCGTCGAAGCCCACACTTCTGGAACGTACAGATTTTTACTGCAACAGTCCGCTCCTGCAACCCCTGCCATTTTTCAGTCTCAAACCACACCAGTGCCAATACTGTAACCATACCCTCGGCCAAAATATGTTCCCATTATCCTCGACACTTCTCTAGACGATAGACCTGCTGGCTTGTTCATGCGGTACCACCCATAGTGGATATTCCTCTCCTGCAGGGTTCGGTTTGATATCTCTCGGCGGTATTAGGTGAATCCGGCAGCGGTCACAACTTCTTCAATACTTCGGTCGTCGATCATCCTCCACCGAACGAGCATACAGTTTTATTGCGTCCCCGCTATCGAAGTTACTGATTGATTCTTATTCCTCAATGCAGGGAAGATCATCCCTTCCCCATGGCACTGTCAGCTCAATCGCACAAGTTGTATGGAATCAGTCTGCTTTGCTATGCGCACCACATTCAACAGTTTTAACATGGTTGATATTTGCCATTAACTTACAAAATACACGCGCTTTTATATTTTGCCTTTGTGTGCTAACTGAGCAGTACGATACAAGTCCAGGAGCAATCATCACTCCGAGACTCGTATATCCCCTCCAATCTTGGCGAGTCACTTGTGCTGAAAACTGATCATCACATTGTCTGCTTCTTTAGCACACTGACAGTTTCTTGTGCTAATTCTGGCTGATGATCTTGATTCACAGCCCTTGTTAGAATCATACCAGCGTCTATTTTGCCGAACAACAACCTTCGACAATATGGAAAATACACGTACAACATAACCTGAACTCTCCCTCTCAGCCGAACTCCATCCGCACTCTCCATATCATTAGCCCCGTCTTCCTCTCCCACTCATTCCGTCCACCACTCAGCCCACCACCTAGCTCATCCCCGATCCTTATCATTTGCTGCATCGCACCACCATGCCCGGCAGCTCAGAAAGCCAATATATCAGACTTGAAGGCGAGTCCTCCATATCACCTTCGTATCTGTTTCATGATCCTCACACTCTGCCTACAGTTCTCAACGGAAAGAATCTTCAACTTCCCTCCTGGCGCATTCCCGCTGGCATTTACGTGTCCATCAATCTCGACTCCCGGAGACGCTAGAAATCGGCCATCAGTATCTTATCATCTGATGAATCTGTGGCCTGGGCCCGGGGGAATATTGTAATTCTGTAAAGTTCGTGGAGACTTTCCAACGCGATGCTGAACTGATCATCGGTTTATAGATCACCACATGCCTTACCTGCATTATCAATGGAGACCAGGGCGTCCTTTGAGCTTCATCGAATGTTGGGCAGCGGAGAGGTCATTGAGAAACTTGAAATGTCGTGGGATGAGCTGGTCCATCACGGAGATGAGCCATTCGGTGAGCGACTCGCTCCTCATTCGTGCACATATATTAACACTTCCTAGATCTATACTTCCCCCCTGTGCGCGGTGTCCACCCCTTCTTCACACTGAAAGTTGCTTTAGTACATACTTGCAACAACAAAAATGACGTACCGTTCAACGTCAGTGACCCCAGAATCTGACCTGTTAGTTTTTGCCGACACAACACCAACTGTAGTCCCTTGTAAACTACGGCATTGCTCGAGACACAGATGCGGGTCATGCACAATTTGCCGCATACATAACAAGCGAGAATATTTCTCACCTGAACGATGCTGTAGAGCATTTTCGGTTGGTTCTGGACCAGTGTCCGGTCGGCTATCCAGATTACGCGGCAGCTCTCACCAACCTCGCGTCTGCCCGTCTTGATGGCTACATACAAAATGATATCGATACTACCACTTCCCTCCTCCGCAACGCCCTTGCATTGCGCCCGCAGCGCCATTCCCATCATCCCTCATCTCTATATAATCTTGCTCTAGCGCTGAGTTTGTGCTACAATGAGAAAGGTACTATTGCCGACATCTGCGAAGCCGGCCAACTATGTCATGATCTACTCCCTCTCTGCAAAGGGTACCCACCTTTGTACGAAGACCTGCAAGCGGCAGCGCGCCAGGGCCCGGCCATCATCCTCAATGCTAGTAAATACTCGTGCAGCGCCATCATCGTCCCGACGTCAGGAGACCCCCATCATGTTCCCTTGCCGTCTGTCGCCCTTGCAGATCTAACCAATCTCAAGGATCGCTTCGCCAGGGCAATACGAGATTCATCTCGGATGAACCCAGGGGAGTCGAGGACGGATCTCATAGTGCTCTTGCGCATAATATGGGACCAGATTATGCTACCAATCGTCCACGTACTCGAGCACGTCCTCAAACTAAAGCGCCGTTCTCGAATCTGGTTGTGTCCTACTGCAGCTTTCACCTCCATTGCTCTCCATGCCGCTCACCCCTTTCAAACAAAGGCAGATCGTTCTGTGAAGGAGCAATGCCTGGAGGATCTCTACATCTGTTCTTACACCCCGACACTTTCTGCTCTAGTCAGATCTAGACAGTCGATGAAGAAGCGTGTGCCTCCGTCCTTCGTAGTAATCGGACAAGGTCAACCGGGTTCAGGGACAGGCAAGGCACTTTTGGCTGTCGACAGCGAGCTCGAGCTTGTCCATTATTTCTGGCGACACAGCCACACGAACAGGTGCACTCGAAGCTTTGCAGCAAAATACCTGGGTGCACCTAGCTTGTCATGGCAAGCAGGACCCTATGCAGCCTTACAGTTCGCATCTCGTCATGAGAGACGAACATTTGACGCTACTCGATATCATAGAGAGAGATATTCCGCGCGCCTAGTTCGTGTTCTTATCAGCGTGTCATACTGCCGTCGGCGATGAGGAAACGCCCGACGAAGTGATCCATCTCGCAGCTGGTCTCCGGTTTTCAGGATTCAAGAGCGTTATTGGCACGCTGTGGGAGGTGGACAATGCTGTCGCAAAACACATCGTCGAAGCTTTCTACACGTATATGTTCAGAGATTCGAAGGATGGTGGTGTCGTGGACTGTACGAAGGCGGCCTGAGCACTCAACTGTGCTACACATGTGGTGAAGACGAAAGTGCCGCTCGAGCAGAGAATGGTTTTCATTCATATCGGTGTGTAGTTCTATGTATCATATGTCGTATTGCTGTCGTCTGGTGCATATTGATCTGCGATCCTCTTTCATCCTGCTGTATAAATAACCCCTGATGTATTCTTGCGCTCCTGCTTTCTCGTTTTTGTACACCCTGTTGTGTTTTTGTCGACTAGAATGTTCATCAAAGTTATTGTGTACTCGACTCGCGCCTCATCTTCAACTGCTAAGTGAGTGCTTAGATAGTAGGAGCCGAGCCAGTCAAGCCGACTCATGCCTTCCAGTCATACCATGGATCCTATGCCCGTCCAAGTTTCATCAATCCTGGATGGCTGCTTTGACTTATGGCCATGGCCCACATGTGTACTGCTTGCTACATCTGCGACATCAGTGTTAATCTGCCAACTTAATATATGTCAACATTCAACATTCAATGCCTATGGCCATACTCATAATTTAATACTGATTACTCCCAGTACTCCTCGATCGACTCATCCTCAAGCCTACCCGTTGACATTATAACGAAGTTGTGATTTTTCTCAGCGATGAATGCATTTACTGATGAGCCTGTCGCTGTTGTCAGGCTGTCTGGCACGATGATATCATGATTGATACATGCACGAATCGCAGCTGGATATAGGAATGGGTGTCATTCCGGACGGATAGATTTGAGGCAGTGAGTATGGTTCTGCACATTTGAGATAAGCTTAGGAGATCCCCTGGCAACAGGCACGAGGGTACATACGTAAGTCATGCTAGACGCAGTTGCGGAAGTGGGCCCTGGGGATCCTTACCAACGTGTGAGTAACATTTTATTCGCTAGAGTTTGAACCAAACTGTCCAAGTTCTAAACACGAAGGAGATTAAATGGTTCGTTGAGTACCCTTCAAGTTGACGCGCAATGTGTCATCTATGCTCGGCGCTCGCGGTGTCAAGACAAGTCCGCCAGTGCACCGGTGAACATTGAAATTGATGAAATCCTAAGGATGAATGACTTGAAATGGATCTTATCTCGCAATCGTGATTGAGGTGGTGTGGCTATGAATGGAGTATTTGAATACTAACTAGAACTTGACTAGCACTACTCGTTTCTTCTGCACGTGCCAGCGCCCTCATGACCAGGAGTCTAGGTGGAAAGTCACGTTCTATGCGTTTCGAAGCTTGAGTGACTGAAGAGAGAGTACGACGGTAAGGTTTATTGCTAGGAACAATGTACAAGGTGAAGCTAAGGAGTACGAGAGTCTTGGGTGAAAACCCGCAGGGTTTTCCGATCCGAAACGCCGGCCTGAATCTGGGTGCAAGCGTGAGCTGTGAGTCCCAAAGTGCTAGGAGTGCAACGACGCATACAGCGCAGCTTGTGGCCCCAGGGAAAAAGGAGGTGTACTCACTCTAAAGGTTAACGCACTGGTGGCATTGTTATGTGCGTGAAAGGCTCGAGAGCTGATGATGCTTGTATGTACAGCGCTATCACTATAGCGTGGTCACGAAGATAAGTGGTGAAGGCATCGCTCGACCACCTGCCCATTGCTTTTACGACGTCGAATGGAACTCCCCGCAGGAGGTATTCTAATGTACCACCAATGCGAAGGCCGTGGCCTTTGAGATTGGGTAAGTTCGTCAGAGAGGAGATCTGATTGATGCGCTTAGTCAACTCTTTCTTTGAGAGTGGGCGGAGGCCGCTGGGGTGCTTCCAGGCGAAAAGATGAGCTGAATTTTCGGCTGGATTGAGTCTCAAGTGGTTCTCTAGAGCCGCTTTGGGGTCTGAAAGACCTTCTTGAGCGGACCAGTAGGCTTCTTCACCTTTCAGAGGAGAAGATTTTGTACTCGGCAGGAAGAATGATGTGACGGGTAGGTTGTTGCGATCTGTTTTCTGCGTGACATGAGCGCGGGTGATGTGCTTCAGAGGGTCGAAAAGTTTAAGAGATGGTACAGTGAATTCTCCTAGGCGCGCGATTGCATGAAAGGATGTTGTGATGCACGCGAAGATTGCAGCGTCCTTGGGATTATTAGAGTCTGTTCGGCCACCATTATTTGCGCAAGTTAGAATTTGGTTCTGGCTTTGCTAATCGTCGGAGCTTGAACAAGATGTCACGCTCCGATAACGCTTACCGTATGCCTTATCCTACTATCAATACAATGCCTCTTGATCCTGATTACGACGAGGACGCTAACGAGGACGAATACGACCTTGTGGAGGCAGAGGATATGGACAACGATGCAGAGGAGAGTGATAAGAAGTATCTGGCATGCATCATGCAGATGGCCATGCATGCTATGCGCACGGTCATTACAGTCCTCAACGCAACAACTACCGCGCTCGAAGCTTACTCAAACACCTACTACGACAAAGAGCCGTATCATACCTCCGCTTTGTCGGGGACTGCATGGGTCACCGAACTTCTCACTGGACACCCTGAACGCATCAGATGCGAGCTCGGGGTCCACAAGCATGTTTTCTATGTGCTCATCAATCTCCTTCGGCAAGCAGGATGCAGAGATTCCAGGCATGTACTGCTAGAAGAGCAGCTTGCTATATTTCTCTATGCGTCTGTCACGGGTCTCTCGATTCGCCATCTTGGTGAACACTTTCAGCGGTCCAATGAAACAATATCAAAGTACGTATATTGTTGCTGTCCTGGTATCAAGCTTATGTTCTTTCAGGTATTTTAAATGGGTTCTTTTTGCATTCTCCTCGCCACCGATATATACGACATACGTCCGCCTGCCCGACGTAGATAGCCCTCCTCCCCCCGAAATCACGAAAAACCCGAAGTTCTTCCCGTTCTTTGTTGACGCTATCGGAGCCATTGACGGTACACACATCGCATGCCATCCTTTTGGTGAAGATCGGCATGCCACTCGGGATCGCAAGGGGAACTTCTCTCAAAACTGCCTCGCGGCATGTTCATTCAACCTTTTGTTTACCTACATGTTGAGCGGTTGGGAGGGGTCAGCTGCAGATGCTCGTGTCTATCACGATGCTCGTACTACCAATTTCAATATCCCTGAGGGAAAGTATTATCTTGTGGACACTGGATTTGGCTCGTGCGATGAGCTTCTGGTCCCGTTTCGGGGTGTGCGTTATCATCTTGCAGAGTGGGGTCGTGCTAATACTTTGTATGATGCGTTCTGCTAGTATCATTCATACTTATGTTCACATCATTACATAGGCCTCGTAATCGCAAAGAACTTTTCAATTTGCGTCATGCAATGCTTCGAAATGCTGTTGAGCGCATTTTTGGTGTCATCAAGTGCCGATTTCGTATCCTTCTCCTCCCGCCCGAGTACAAAATGGACATTCAAGCGCGCATTCCTCCTGCCTTGTGTCTCGTGCACAACATTATTCGAGTTCACGATCCAAACGACATGATGGACTATCATAATGTGTTAGATGCGCACATTCTCACTGACACTGGAAACCTTGCTAACGGTCCTCCTACTGAGCATGCACGCACTCGTGCGAGCCTCTGTCGTGACCAGATTGCTAGTGAGATGTGGGAGGCCTACAACAGGGAAAGGATTCGGAGGGGGGAGCAGGCAATCATAGAACCACTAGTACTGTAGTCGCGTTAATACCATAGCCGTTCGGACCCTCATCGATGACTATGATCCAAAGTATCTCCGTCAAATGATGACATTGTTGTCAGATTAAGACCGGACCCTCATCGATGACTATGATCCAAAGTATCTCCGTCAAATGATGACATTGTTGTCAGATCAAGACCGGACCCTTATCGATGACTATGATCCATAGAAATAGTGATATTGCTTTGCTACTACAAGTACAATACAAGAGAACACAACACGACAAGAATACATGTAACACTACTTTGAATGCTGCTCTAAAAACAACCGCCGAAGACTATCTACCTCAATAGCGAGATAAATATCAATGATAGCGATGTCGGCCTGAAATTTATTCAAGATATTGAGTAGTTGTACGTCCTCTAGACCCTCACTCTGCAACTTTTTCACCGCCTTCTGCCTGCACAAAGGGATGGGATCTACTGATCGCGCCAAGGTGTTGGAGGTGTTGGCCTCAAGAGCATTGGCCGCGCGCTCTAACGTCGTGTTAAGACCGCCAATATTAGTCCCCATATGCTGGATGGCCACAGGCATCGTCAGGCGTGCAGACTTTGCCGAGTCTCCCGATTTCGTTGAATGTGGGGGGCGGGTAACGATATCAAGCGTACTTTCGTTATCATCAATCAGCTTCCGTTTACCGGAAGCTGTTGATGATGGCGCACTAACACGGACCGACTCAAGGGAGGGTTGCTGTGTAGCGTCGAATGGAGGGAGGCTCTCTGGGGTGAGGGGGGTTGCACGCTGGCCGCCTGAAATAGAGCTGGGGAACTCGATCCCATCGAGCGCATCTCCAAGGTCCATCATATGGACCTCGTCAAAGGAAAGGGGGGTGACTGCGCTGCTAGAAGAAGGCGAAGGAATGATGGGAGGTGGTGTCGCGATGGTGGCAAAGAACGAGTTGTTGTTACCTGGCTTGACAGGTATGAGACCTTTCAGCGCCTCATAGTGCTTCCAACCCTTGTCCCGGAGGCCTTTGGCCTTTGGATTTTTCTATTGATTCATAGTAATTAGCATTGTCGTAGTAGTTTGATGCGAATTAAAATCACTTTACCTTCACAAAGTCGGTCCACATGTTTTCGGACTCTGGAGTGATCGAAGCTCCGTGTTCCATGCTGTAAGATAGTCTGGAAGCGTTGGCCACTTTGTCGACGACGTTGAATGTACCACGGAGCTGAAACTCGATCATTAGTGAGGGTACCAAGGCTGATATAGTAGTAGTACATACCCGCCCCCATTTTGATTGACATGCTACCGCTGTTTTGCTTGCACCCGAGCAGGGGTGTTTTTCCATTTCAGCAGCAGCAGCAACCCAAAACGTGTGATCAAAGTTCATACCATCACCACCTTGTGAGCAGTTGGTGGTGACATACTGGATGAGGATGGTTTCGTCTGCTTCCGTCCACACACACCGATCTCTCGCTTCCGTTAGCTCTGCACCACCACGGGCACTTTTTCTGCCCCGAGACATCCTGTAAGAGTTGCGATGATGGATAGATTGTAGACGGGTAACAGGCATGCCTACTACTTAGTATTGATTGATTAATAAGGTTGGTCACACTGTGACCAGCACGGTCCTATGATTATGAAAGCAAAATATAGATTCTAAACCTGCGTAAACTGGCGCAAATATTGGTGGCCGAACAGACTCTTAAGGTCTAAGTGTTCTCGAATACTGATGATGATATTAGGAGTGAAAGGATTGCGCTTGTCTCGTTTAGATGACGAGGGAGCGAGAGCCGTGGCGCCATCTAACGTGGCTTTGAGTTCTTTAGCGTTTATGATCCATGGTTGGCCATGCAGCAAGTGCCATGCTTTAAGACCTGCAGCATAGTTAGATAAGGCCGAGCCCGAATATGCACCTGCGCAGCTTGATAGAAATGTTAAGAGCAGGTTGGAGGAGATGGGACATCTCTGTTCTTCGGGAATCTTATGTGAGTCGCAGAAAACTTGAAATACTAGCAGCCCTGCTCCATAGGTTTCCTTGGTAGATAGAGCCCAGGATGAGCCTAACACGTCAAGGATGCGATCGAGTTGGCTGTCGGAGATGTTGACGCTGTTTTCGTTGCCTGACGAAATGGTCTGGCGTAAGCTCTCCCCCGGTGGTAACCAGAGGCGCAGTCTGTCACGGGCTAGACAGTGAGGATGGAGAGGAGATGGCATGGGTGTGAGGTTGGGTTTGTAGCATTGGGGGGAGGAGGAAGATTGAGACATGCTGCTAGGGAGGGTGGACTCGAAGCGGGAATGAGTGTTATTGCGAGGAGTTATGGAGGGTTTCGAGGAGGAGATTGTCTTCCTCTTCTTGGCGAGTTCTATTACATTCAGCTCCTTGTGCTCGGAGAAGTGCTCTATTAATGACTTTTGCAGCGGCGACGGGGTACTTCCCATTGCGCAAGAGTTCGCGTTCAATATGGGTGGGGGGAAGGGTGGCATCGACGATGAACTGCTGAATGGCAGGGGGAATATCGATTGGAGGGAGTAAAAGTTCGAGTGGGGGGTAGACGCCTCGTGATGGATTGTCTGCTGGATTGAGTTTGCTGGCAATGTAAGTAGTTCTGATCTCGAAATGCTTGGGTATGAGACGGATGTGTTCATGAATTTGTCTGAATACGAGGTTGACTTCTCTGTTGCGACTCCTCCCTTTCCACCAGCCCTCAATGACTCCTGTGTTATCTCCAAAGACGGTGAATGCGCTGCCAAGTTCTGGGAGAGTAGCAAGGGATCAAACGAGAAGTTCAAAGCCAATGGCTTCTGCCCAGCCGATGTCTCTCTTACCATTCTGCATTTGCCAGCCTGGGATAAGTCTCCACGCTCTCCAGCGGTGTCCGATTACGATGGCAATTCCTATGGAGGAGCTTGCGTCAGAGAAAGTGAGAGGGTTGGAGTAGGGTGCGGGCAGATAAATAGGCTTTGTGGCACCGCCGTTTTGTAAGAGCTCTGACCACCATAATAGGTCGATCTCGATGTCCTTAATGGGGCGGTGCGGGAGGTAGGGTTCTTAGCGCAGATACCTAACATGCTTTCTAGGGACGTGAGATAAGCTCGGCCATGCTTTACTACCTCACACGCATGTAGAAGCTTGCCATATAGTTCACGTACGTCTTGTAGCACGTGGGAATTGCGCTTGCGCCAATTGTGAATAGCTAGAAGGTATTTGTTAACTTTGGCGGTGCTGAGTGAGACGGCACAATTCTTTACGTCCCATTGGAAGCCAATACAAATAGTTGATGATGCGAAGGGTTGGTCTTTCTGGATTTCCCAGACGATTCCTAGTTCTGCCAAGAGATCGTCGACATCTTTTAGACAGTAACCGAAGCACTTATCGTGGTTTGATCTAGGGGAAACATTTGATAGATCTTTCAAGGGCCACGCGCAGTCCTCGTTGAACTCTTCTGTTGATCCGTCATCAAACACGTGTCCGCCGAACCAAAGTCTTCCGCCTGACTGCTGCATGCCTTTCTTGGCAAGGTCTATGTGCCAGGTTTTGCGCTGACGGTTGTATTCAGCTAAATGTTCTCACGGGATGCGAATGAAAAGGTGGTCATCCACCCATTTGTCTAAGGGGCCGATGCCATGATGCCTAAAAAGTTCTGCGCCTGCGTCTGCTACATGACCATAAGCTCCTGCAGACAGAGCAGCTCCGAACACCATGCAGGTATCTATGCAAAATTCAGAGTCTGATACTCGAACGATGTTTGCAGGCCATTGAGATGCGTGGAGGGGAATTGTCCTGTAAGCCTCTGAAACATCTCGTGTTGCGACTTCCGAACCTAAGGGAAGCCTCGCAATTAAAAGGTAAATAATAGAGAATTTCGCCCAAGTAGTGGGGAAGCGGTTAGAGTCGATGAACAAGTTGATTGAAGGATTGGGATGGGTACTAGAGAGGGTGTGTGGAAAGGAGAAATTCTGAACTATTCTATATTTGCCCGGCTTGCCGGGCTTAGGTATGATGGATAACGGAGAGGATTGGAAAGGACCTATGAGGCATTCGAGAGAATCGCAGGAGAAAAGACCTAGGTATCTGTTTTTGCGGAATTCTTTCTGTATAACGGAATTAAATTCGGATTGATATTCGATGACGGAGTCTTTGTTCGGAGGAGTTTGTATGTGGCTAATTAAGGGAAAATCTAAGATAAAACCTGAACGAAAACCTTCTGGGACTTTTGCGAAGCGGTCTAGAGCGTGCGCGTTACGGAGTGCCTGTTCCCAAGCCTTAGCGTGGTAGGGAGTGAGTGGGTTCAGCCTTCTGTGCGCGAGAACAACGTTGAGCTCCATGTTCGAAGGATCCACATCCTGAACAAAGGTGTTTGTAACTATGGTGCGAGTCTCTACAACCTTCTTCGCGTTGCCAAGATGTGCACAGCTGGTGCCCGTCTTTGGACCATAGAGCTTTCTTGATGCGCTCGGAGTAGACATAAAAGAGATTGTCCCATGTGCAGGAGGCGGAGCACTCGACTGTGCGATGTGGGTTGCGGCCGAGGCATACGGCGCAACAAGGCAAGGAGGAGGATGATGAGTTAGAGTTGCGAAAGGAGCGTGACTTTTTCTTTGGGTCATTGTAAGCTGCGCTGGGTGATAGCGGTCTCTTCTGCCCACTGAAAGTACGAGAACCTGCATTATGATTCATAGCAGGGACCGCCTAGCGTTTGGGAGAATTTGGGAGACGTGTGATGGTACAGCGAAGGTGTAAATTGTGGAAGCACACATTGGCCAAAGTGACACAGGTTGGTCAGGGTGACGCGTGTTGGTCAAGGGGGGTGACGCGTGTTGGTCGGAGGGGTGACATGTGTTGGTCGGGGTGACGCATGTTGGTCGAGGCGACGCATGTTGGTCAATGGTTGAACGAAGCCAGACGATCATGATGTCGAACGGCGATGTTAAGTGGGGAGGTATCAAACACGCGATGTGGATGTGGATTGGGAGTTTGTATGGTGATGTGAGAATGGTTAGTTGTCTGTCTAAAGCCTATTGTGAGAGGATTCTTGTACCTGTCTGAGTGTCACGAGGGCTTGATCGCGGTCTATGTTAAAAATCTCCTCTCTCGCTTCAAGGATGAGCTCTTGATTGAGCTCCGCTATAGACCATCCATGCGGACCGCCAGCTGTGAGATGCCACATTCTGCGCTGCTGACTCTGGTAGAGCAAGAGTGCACGTTGCTTCAGAAGGTCCATAGCATGACGCCAATGATGATTCTGAAGAGCTGTCCAAAAACTTATGTGCATGTTAATGCGATCTTCTGGCCATTCTTGTTGCTTCATGGCCGTGATCATGCCCAGTGTGGCTTCGTTGAATTCTTCCCAAGATAGATTCTCATCCTTCATGATGACAGTCTTGGAGTCGCAAGTTTCGTCCGCGTTAACCCACGTCTGTTGGCCATCTGCTCCCAGGATCAAGATTAAGCCTTGCGGTTCTGTTGAGAGAAGATTCTTCTTGGCTTTGGACAGGCCTTTATTGGTGAAGTAAAAGAGTTCGCAGTAATCCCCAGTTTTGAGTTTGCGTACAGCATAGTGAGAAGGGATGACGGTGGGAATGGTTGGTATCTTAGCTGTAGAGACGGGGACGAATTTAGCTTTATTCTTCTTGTGTTCTTCCTTGCGCACTGCAATAAGTTCGTCTTCGAGCGCTTGCTGCCGCTCTTGCTCTTGCTCGGCTGCGACCCACCGAGCTTCTTGAGCCTGCCTTAGTTCTATTTCTGCTTGCTCTGCCCAAGCGTCTTTGGCAGTGTCGTTGTTGAAGGTCCAGATAGTTTCAAGCGCTTCCGCAGCTGCTTCTTCATTCACGACACCTCTAGCGATTAGACGAGCCCTGGCCGTGGCGTACTCGACAGTCGTGAAGTCTGGCAAGATTGCCTCATTGGGATTATCTAACATAGATACCAGTATTAATTATTGAGCAGAGAAATAAAGTTATGTCTGGGATCGTCTACGCTGGTGGGTGATGGATGTGGATGAGAATGAGGAGTGTTACTGTCACACCACTAACTCACACGTAGACTAACTTCTGCATTAGCCTCGTTCCTCGGCTAACTCAGAAAACCCAACGTTGGAGTCCTGAAAAACAGCAATTGCCATTTCACACCACTACTGACTCCGAAAGTGACTTACCGTCCACTGTGAGGACGAATTGATCTACTCTTGAAGAGTCCAAATGCAATCCAGATCAGTGCAAAACTTCTTTTTTTTGAAAAATATCTCTCCACCCACTTTGTGTTCTTTTGACATGTCTTAGTTGATGATAATGCCTGCTATATGTATAAGATTTGGATTTGTTATTGACCGTCAGAAGGTATCTCACTTAACCAAATTTCTGGTCCTGCATCACACAATTTGCTTAACTAAGATGTTACCTGATTTAGACTGTTATGCGCCATGGCACTTGACAAGTCACTGTCAGGTCATGTCGGCGACATCCCGACCTGATATAGATACATCACAATGATGTGCGTCTGGGATGCATTTGTATCTACATGATATATCCAATACATTGTTGACGAGATCTATGCACGCTCGATTTTCTCTAAGTCCTTTGTTTGGTACCCTTTGCCACGTTGCCACTTTTGCACAAACTGTTGGGGTTGCCCAACAAGTTGAACTCGAGCAGCTCCCCAACAAGTACTTACCCACTGCTCTTCCCACCACCACCATCCTTGCGGCTATTGGTCATAGTTTATGACCTGAGTTTCTGTTCAAGGTAATGGCACTTAGTAGCTCAGTCCACCGCTTCTCGTGCAGCATACTTACTATCTCTCCACATAGTGTATCCGCATTTGTTACCTAAAGGTGAGTATATGCGCGCTGCTTCTATTCCAACGCATCACTGTGGCCTCAGTAACGTCTTATCTTCATGAAGTGCACGATTTCATTGTGATGGTGCCATGGGGATGCCGGGAGTCTTTGGTAGGTGCATGTGTTTACCCGATACTGGTGCCACTGAATATCCCACTCCCAGACAGTGTGTGATATTGGATTATGGGCTGGGTCTTGATGGTACACTGGGCATGATCTGTTCCAAAGCGGTATGTGATTCGTCTCTTGCATTACTTCACCACCGCTGATGGTATCATGGCCATGGCCCGCTCTCAGTTGTGCATCCTCTTGTCTTTCGAGCTGCAAAAACCACATCCAGACATTGTCAAGCCTTAATAGCCTTGCTGTGATGCATGCGCATACGGCGCACATCGTCATTATTTTGGTCAACGTCATCGAACGTTGTTCCTACTTCCTCTTCGGAACATGTTGCTTCCCTTCTCCCGCATCTCTTTCTTGCACACCCACTGTGCCTCACCCATTCAATGGCAGGTCCAGATCGTACTGTCAGGTGTTACAGGCATCTGTAACACCTACTGGAGCCCCAGCTCTGCCTACACCTGCCCCCGCTCTGCTAGACTCCCCGCGCGGCGGTGCGCCGCCTGCGCCTAGAAAGACAGCGGTCTGGACCGCTGTGACTCCGCCCCTGGCGCTATGACCCGCCCCTGGCCTAGATGGCCTTGTACCTGATCCATGGAGGCTGTACGCCTCATGGTCACCGTAGATCAGCGCATGCATACCGCATGTCGCTTCATGAAGATCCGGAGCGCGCTTTGCGCTTCCTGTACCTATGCGCAGCTGCCCTTGGCGCAGCATGCTTGATCAGAGGTTAAGCCTCATGTATCTTACCTGAACCTCATGTCTGGCTATCATAGATTTACAATATACTATTGATTACAGACTGAGCTAGAATACTTGTAGTACTTCCCTATAAGTAGACACAGATTATTGTACTTAGACTTTACTTTAATCTACTAGGTTCATCCCCAGAACTTGCTCATCTAAGCTTACCAGCTTCCTTGTGTGAGACCGCACTTCTAAGTCGCCCCCATATGACTTAGCACATATCCGCTAGCCCTGCATCTCGACGAGCGCTGCCTTACCGAGATCGCCGGAGGAATCCTTGACGTTCCGTCAAGGCTAGAACAACGCTCAGCTTCAGTAGGCTCACTCGAGCCGTCGCTGAGAAGACCTATCCTAGTTCGCACACGCCGACCGACGGTCAGCGTAACATCAGGTATGTTTGTTAACTTGTTACAAGTCTAATTTTAACATGTTTGAAACTTTGAAATGTTTCATGATACTATCGCAGACCTCACTTCATTCGTGCGCCCCATCGATCTCCCACAACCTGACTCCACCATCATCGCTCCCACTGACCACCTTCCCATTCGGAGACAACGCTATGGTCCACACTATGGTCCACACTTTAATTTCTCCGTCCCACCAGTCGTCTCCTATTTGTTTCCCACTCTTCAAGTTCCATACCTGCAGCAAGCTGTCTCATGAACAAGTCATTATCCGTTCTCTGCCTGGCAGATGTATAGCTTCCTCGACCGAATGGGTGTGTCCCTCAAATTTATGGTGGGGTGTGATCGCTGGTCCCTCCTTCCTTCTAACGATGGCACTTACAACAGTACATCCTTCAGCTGCTCAGGATGTATTGGCAGCAAGACACAAAGGCCATTTAGGTCAAGAGTGCACTGCAAGTTTGAGTGGTACGGCTCAAATGTGTTCAATTCATCATCGAAATCTGACATTCATGAAACATACGCGCAGGTCGAAACTGTGTTCTGACGTGCGCAGGTGAGTCATGTGGTTGAATCCTGGTTTCACAGCGACCTGCTCATGCTTACTTTGTCAGAATCGCAAATTCCTTACTCGAGCCGCGGCTCAGGCCAGAGCCATCTGAAGCCAGGCCAAAGCCGCGACTTTTGGGCCAAGCCACGACTTTTGGGCCAAGCCAGGCCGGAACATCACTACCAGGCTGAGGCTCTTACCATCAAAATACGGGCTCAAGTTCCTATTCTCGCACTGGGACTCGTGGTATTGTGCTCTCATTTTGCTTTTAATGCTATCTCAGTATTCTCTCATTCAGTGATATCCTGCTAGTGCAGCAGGTTCCTTACATTGTAGCGCCTTACAATACATTGTACTCTCATGATGATAATCAATATCTGACTTTAACTGGATATCTGTGTGATTTACAATGTCTGAATAATCTAATTGAGATAATAATATATTTGCCTGAAACATGTCGTACACGCTCTGTCCATTGGACATTTCAGGTTCCAAGTCTGCTCAGACATACTAGACCCTAACCCTGATATTGTTGACAGTGTTGACACCGTATATATCTATGTATTGTTATGTCTAGTACATCAGTAAATTCACGAATTGCTTAATTTCCTTTTAAGCTCTTATTTTTCTCACCCAAGAGCGGACAAGAACCAGAACACCTCCTTGTCACAAGGAGCAACAAGCTGCCAAGAAGATTTCTTCCTCTTGATTTGAGCATTTTCACACTTTTTTTCATTTGTCCTACACTTTTTGCACTTATTTTTAGAATGAGCTACATTACAATCCCCTTATGTCGCACTTATTTTTAGCTTGTTCACACTATATACACTTTTTCACACTTGTTCACACTTGTTACCAGGAAAAAGAATTGCATTTCAACCGGACAAGAGGATTAAGTAGATAAAAGGTTAAACAAGGAGAAAAATAAGGACTAGCAAGTAGATTAATAACGAGCGCGACAAAGCAAACGGAGGCGGCAATGAGACATAACAAGCGCGACAAATGGAGGCGGCAACGAGACATAACAAGCGCGACAAAGGAAATGGAGGCGGCAACGAGACAGCATGTAAAAAAGACCAGGGAACATAGCATGAATAACCTTGAAGGTACTAGCAGCGTCGAAGCTCCTAGTCAGTTGCAAAATAAACTACAAGAGTGAAGGACATTACCTCTAGAAAATGAACGCTCGCTCATCCCCAGATTCTTCGTCCACATCCATCCGTGCGCCGCCACGCCTCTTCGTGGCGAGGCTCTGCGCAAGCTCAGAGTTTCGGATAAGGACCGAGTCTGGCAAGCGTGTGATAGACGCCATGTAAGCCCTCGTGTGCACACCCCAATTGGCTTCTGAAAATGCCAAGGGGACGCTGCTCTGGTTGCCTGTGGACGGATTGACGTCGAGCGGGGTCTTGTTGCCTCGACCATTGCCAGAGGTGTCGATGTCTCCTAGGAGCATGTGTCCATTGACGAAAAGCCTGATGGCGCGTTCCATCTGAAATACAGGGTAAGTTAAGTCAGCTGTATGAGAGGGTAGAAAACACGTGCTGCTGCCGTGGCAAGACTAAGAGCGCCCTTTGAGTGCCACGGCACTGTATCGTTCGTTCCCGGCAGGTTGACAGCGCTGGACGTGGCACACTTGTGCTGCACGAGAACCTGTACAATAAGGTCAGACTGGAACGGGTTGGAGACCTCTCCGTCCTCCGCGATGTCCCCAAATAAAAAGGTGAACTTGTCGAGTAAGGCTGATGCAAAATCTTTGCGGTCCTCGTCAGTCTTGAGGTCATCTTGTGAGGTCATGAAGTTGGCGAGCACGGCGAGAGCCACATTGCTAAAGGTATTGCGCCACTCTGACAGCCGCTGGAGGGTCTAGAAAAATAAATGACAGATTTAAATCACATTTGAAAACAAAACGTACAACGGCAAGGACAGGCCCATCAGCTTCAACCGTGTGTGGAATCCAAAAGAAGCATCATCATAGTTACTGATAGATAAACAAACTCACACATCAGACGTCTTCTGAACTTCTCCATCACGTGCCTTTGTTGAGTCGATAACGATGCCAGCGTTTAATACTGCTTGAATTGCTTCTCTCACCGCCAGTTTCTTCTTCTTTTTGGTTTGGACCGGCTCCCCATCCTCATCCTCACTTGCAGGATTTTCGACGCTAGCATCAGCTGCTAACCTTTTAGCTCCACCCACGCGACCCCTGCCTTTGGTGACAAGAGGCTTATCGGCGACGATTTTTGCTCCTGCCTGCCTATCATCCATAGTCGAGTCGGAGGTCTTCAAGTCCTTTGCAGCCTTTCCCACCGGGCGTGCACGAGGACGCTTAGGCTTAGGTGTGTCAACACGCATAGCATCTTGGTCAGCCTGCATCTGTGCCTGCAAAGTAGCAATACGCTGATAACTTTCTTGTACAGCTTTTTCACTTGCCTCCTTTGCCTCCCTTTCACATTGGTCGTCAGCGGCCTTCTCAGCAGTGGTACGCTTCTTTCCACGACTATTGATTAAAATGCGCCCGGGATGCTGAGTTGCATTCTTAGGTCGAGTCCCCATGTGCGTTGTAACTGCGTCAGGTTGAGACATTCTATCGATAGACGGTTTTGTAGGCTGACGAAAATTGAAGGCAGTGGGTTACCAAGTTGAAGGTGAGTTTCGTCACTCTAATATTTGTAGCCAAAGCTGACTCTGAATAATATTTCTTAACATATTGAATTGAGGGTCGATTGCAACATCCGGAGCATCAATATTCGCCAGCGCTTTTCGGCACAATGTGCTCAACAAAATGACATGTCCCAGATTGAAATACCTTAAGTACGGTGAGTATCAATGTTTACCAGAACCTTTCCGGTGATATAATGACGTCTAATAGCCTAGGGAATGTTCACCAGAACCTTTCCTGTGGTGGGGTGACCGTCATCAATGTTCACCAGAACTTTTCCGGTGGTGCGATGACATAACTGTCCATTTTAACAAACCCTTTCTGGGGTAGTGCACATTTTCGTTCCAACGGCACCTTTGCAATGTTACGCTGACTGTTGGTCGGCGTGTGCAAACTAGGATAGGTCTTCTCAGCGACGACTCGAGTGAGTCTACTGAAGCTGAGCGTGGTCTGGCCTTGACGGAACATCAAGGATTCCTCCGACGATCTCGGTAAGACGGCGCTCGTCGAGATGTAGGGCTAGCAGATACGTGCTAAGTCGTATGGGGGCGACTTAGAAGTGCGGTTTCACACAAGGAAGCTGGTAGGCTTAGATGAGCAAGTTCTGGGGATGAACCTAGTAGATTAAAGTAAAGTCTAAGTACGATAATCTGTGTCTACTTATAGGGAAGTACTACAAGTATTCTAGCTCAGTCTGTAATCAATAGTATATTGTAAATCTATGATAGTAAGACATGAGGTTCAGATAAGATACATGAGGCTTAACCTCTGATCAAGCATGCTGCGCCAAGGGCAGCTGCGCATAGGTACAGGAAGCGCCAGGCGCGCTCCGGATCTTCATGAGGCGACATGTGGTATACATGTGCTGATCTAGGGTGTCCATGAGGCGTACAGCCTCCATGGATCAGGTACAAGGCCGTCTAGGCCAGGGGCGGGGTCATAGCGCCAGGGGCGGGGTCACAGCGGTCCAGACCACTGTCTTTCTAGGCACGGGCGGCGCACCACTGTGCGGGGATCTAGTAGAGCGGGGGCAGGCGTAGGGAGAGCTGGGGCTCTAGTAGGTGTTACAGATCCCTGTAACATGCAAGGGTAATTTTTTCTTCAATATTAGCGGCTGGTTTTAAACCTTCACTAGGTCCATACGTTGCATCAACACTACTCATATGATGCGCAGAAACCGGCCTACGCACCGTGCCCTTCAGTTTCCATGCCTATCTCCAGGTTGTATGCGCTGGTTTCTAAACATCTCTGGCCGCACTCAACACATGCACGCGTCCCATCCTGTTGCACCTGCTCTGGATCTTCCCCAACCGCAACAGCTTCCATCTCCACCTCAGTCGCCTCCTCCTGATTTCCTGCCACCCCCCCCTGATTTCTCGCCACCCCCTCCTGATTTCTCGCCACCCCCTCCTGATTTCTCGCCTCCCCGACCACCACCTGGTCCAATGGCTGACGATGAGGATCCAGACTCAGAATTCACTGATGCGAGCAAGCGTTACTATCGTACGTATCACTCGCTCCTCAATGGTAAGTACCTTTCAATCTGCGCTTTTCACGTGTTCTGATTCTGACACGCTCTTAGGACGACCATGCACAGCTGACGGCGTGTTTCTGCCCCCTGGCACACCACCAACTCCTGTCCCACCGAAGTCTCCTCACGACTGGAGCCCGTATCGTAACGATATTGAATTTGCAACGGCAGAGTTTGTTTTCAAACAAAGCCATATGTCTAACAAAGCTACAGACTTATTACTTGACTTAATGGCTGCGCAGCTGTTGAAACACGACGACCACCCTCCATTCGCGGATCACAAGGATTTGCACAAGGTCATCGACACCACACAACTTGGCAATGTCACTTGGCAATGTCTCTCGATTCAATACACAGGGGAACGCCCTGAACATGATGCTCCTCCGTGGATGGACAGAGAATACGAGGTCTGGTACAGAGACCATTCGCAAATGTTCGAGGAGTAGTTATTCATAGTAAAATTTTATCTACTTGTAATCTACGACACACTTTAGTCTTCCTTGCTTTTGGCGCTTGTTGCACTTGTGGGCACTTGTGAATCACACATTTACTTGTGAGTGCTTGTGAAAGAAAAATGACAAGTGCATAAGAATAATAAGCGGCAACATGTTGAAGATTTTCGTGACAAGTGGCGAAAAAGGACGCTAAGGAGTTTGTGAATTTACTGATGTATGAGCAATTTTTGTGATGTGACTTACTGTATATGCCTAGCCTAAGATGTCTCATCCACATCAGCCAAAAAAGCTTAGCGCAGATCAATGCACGAGGGCACGAGGCATTCCGTTTGCGTTCCCTTGTGCTTCTTATAATCTACCTCCTGCTTTCAATCCCCACCACAGACCGTCCAACTTCAGAGTTCTTACTAAACTTGCACCATATATCGCGAATCAAGCTCAAGGCTACTTCACATGTCTGTCGCCTCAGAATCCTCCCAGACTGATGTCTTGGAATATATCATCACCCACATCTGTTGTCCCATCAAATTACCGCAGCACAGCGATTATACTGTCGATAATGATCGCGCCCTCCTTGATCTCGTGCTAGGGTCGGCTCGCAACTTTGTGAGTTCGTTGCCCAACCATGATAAGGAGCAGTGGGCTCCTTTATTGAAGATGCTGGAGAGTCTTACCATCACGACTTCTTCTTCCCTGATCGGGGAAGTTGTCGAGTCACAAGTAAAATCCATGGAAGCAGGAGGTATACACATAGTAGTGTTGGCGCTGGCAAAAATTGACACATTACAAAATTTCTTTGTAGATGTTCTCGCATATCTGATTCGGGAGCAAAATGCTGCTGTAGTGCTTCGCAGGCTGGACATGAAAACCATCTTTGAATCCTTCGAAGTTTCGCCACCGGCATATGCTGTCATGGAGGCAAAAGGGAAGCTCTTGTGTTCGTATCCGGGACCTGCGATCGCTATATCAAACTTAGTGGTGGATAACCCTACCTTTCCCCCCGAGCTGGTGAACTTTCTTTCGCACATGAGTTCTGACGGATTAGATCCTGCAGTCCTCAAAGGAGAGACTGCAAATCCTCACTATATCACCCGACTTCTTACTGATATCCTTTGCGCATTTGGCGAGCCGGCCAACATCCCTCGTATTCGAAAACGTATAGGCGATGATGTGTTACAGTCTAACGCCAAGCTCCCTTGGCGAAGGTCATCCCTCTGGCTTGTCATAAGGGTTGTATTGCAGACATCTCTCGAGCGCACAAGCCTTGGACGAAACAGTTACAAGGCTTTCATGGCTTCTCTCCTGACCGACCTTGTGTCCAGAGCGCTTGAGGAGGATATCTCGAGTGATCTACTTTACTCCATGTCCAATAAAGTTAGTCGTCGCTTGGTCAAGCTTCAGGCCGAAGACGAATTCTTAGCAATCGCGATGCACAAAGCTACGGAAGATATCAAAGACCGACTGGAGCTGCGCTGGAAGAATGTTCAGGCGGCTCAGTCGGTTTCTTCTCAGTGGGATGCCTCGGAGATACATAAAATCAGAGACACCAGACTCTCTTTGACCGAAAGCAAGGAATACATCATCTCTATCCTCCATGCTGCCCATGCTACCCCGGATGCTACCCATGACCAACTTCCTGCGCCAGAATTTCAGCCTCATCATCACCCACGAGGCACTATTAAGGACTTCCTTGGTCCTGACGCCAATTTCTTCGAGAGCGCTTATACCGACGACCCCTTTGTAACACTTTCGGATTTCGAATGTGCCATTGAGCAGGACATTGATGGCTGGGTGAACCATGTCATGAACATGGATGCTGCTGACATCGATGCCGCTTGCATGGCCATTCAAGCGCGCGCTAAAGGTTATTCCACCAGAGCACAACAGTGCTATTCCGGAAATCCTGAGAATATATCCACCATGCTGCTCACACTGTTCGAACTCTGGGTCGCACTTGATAAACTGGTTGTCAAGTCAATCCCTCTCCTCCTGGAGTACTCTCCGGAGGTTCCAGTTGCCACATTCAATCGCCTTCTCCTTCAAAAAGCTGCCGCCATAGAGCGACTCAGAGTTCTTCAATGCTATGTTGCCAGGCGTCACACCCCCAATGCGCTCTCGGTCTTCTCAGATGGTGCAGAAATGCACACGTTCGCAGTTCGTTACTATCACCAATCCAAGGAGCTGCAGTCATACAAGCAGCGCATTACAGATGATGCAGATGCAGAGCGTAAAAAACGAATCGCAGACCTTCATAACAAAAGCGACAGATTCCAGCGTCTCACAGATGAAATTGACGCCCTATCGTGCGACTACTTCATGTACTCGGGAGGTTTGGTCCAACATGAACATAATTGCCGTCGGTGCAAGAAGCAAAGTGAGAGGGATAACCTTGCTGTTGAAGTCCATGAATGGCCGCTTCCTGAGTCTGTTTACGATGCAGCGGTAGTGGTATTCGAGCTTGCTTCCCCGGTCGCTTTCAAGATGTGGCGATCTTTCACCTTCCACTTTCTTTACCACATATGCACCCCAACTTCACAACAGACTCAAAGTGCGAGGCAGTACATTCTGCTCGCACATTATGCGCCGCTCTCGGGTTATTACACAGAGCATCCCGGTCAACGTATCACACTAGCCTCCATGAACGAGCCCCTCCGGACCTCTCCCAAATCCCTTCCATGTACTGAAAGCGACATCTTCGTCAACAATGTTAACCAGCTGCGTTTCATTCTTTACGATACGACTAGTGGTGTTTGGGCCTCCAATTCTTTTCGACAGACTGACATATCCAACATTTGCACCCACGTGCTGCCGAACGGTCCGTATCATGGACTGCAATATTACCTGTCGGGTACCCAGCACACCTCCAATGAGGTCTTGGCCAACCAGGCCTCATGTCATGCTGAGTTGACGCTTCATGAATTCATCGCTTTTGGGGGCCTTCGTAGTGGCAGCCTTTTGCAATGGATCAACATTCTTCGTGAATTGCGAGCACGCACCCTCACATTTCGCGATCCTGCGGTCCACTTGCTACTGCTCCAGGCTAGTTGGCAGGTAGGAAAGCTTTCAGCCGACGGGTCTAGGGCATGGCACAACGAACTGAAAACCTCAGAGTTCGGATACGCCCTTATTGATGAGCTCCAAAGCTTGAAAGTCAGCGTGGAAGCAAATTGGCTGGAGGGCACAACAATGTCGACAATCTCCGTGCTGGCATCCCGCCTTCTTTCATCAGCAAAAGATTCCAGGGTCATCGATAAATTACACGAGTTACTGCGAGCTGTCCGAAATACAACTTTCAAATGGGTACAAGAGCTATCCGAATCTGATGATGAAGACAAAACGTCTATCTCCAAACATCGAGCCCGTGTTTGTGACATGGCAGCAATTTGTCTCAGCACCTATGATGTTGGCCCGGACAACATCGCAGCACTCCTCGAATCACCACAGGACTTGGAGATCCTGGTGTACTGCTCTGTTACAGTGAGGGATAACGTGCCACTGGATCTTCGCACTCTCCCGATAATTTCAAGGTTACTTCTTGAACGCAACCGCCGGCTGTCACACTTCTTAGAGGCCTATTTCCGACAATATGTGGAAGACGACCAAGAAGGTCTTGATAGGGCAATGGAGCATATTTGGCCTGCATACCAGCGCCACACGCGCTGGGAAGTACTTGAATCTCCAAACTCTCGGTGGCTTAGATGTGAAACAGCGCCTCTTGACGATTCATCCCGCCAAATCATTCATCTTGATATGTTGACGGCAAACCTATTGGTTGACGGCAAGCCATTAGCCAGGCTGCCAGATTACTTTTTGCGGCATCCTAGCTACATCACCCTCTTCGGTCGTGTGAGTTTTCTGCCTTGCTAGTTTTCCAGACGTCTCATATTACCGAGTAGCAAGTGTTTGATGTTTTTCCCACAAAGATCTCCGGCATGGAATTTATTGCCAAGGCCGTTGTGCATCGCTTCAAAGTGAGTTGGTATTGTCCAACTTGAAGGACAAGAGCCAAGCTTAGGCGTCCTTTTGCAGATATTTTTTGGGATGCGCAACGGGGACATTGTCATTCAGTCGCAATGTGAGAATGAAGACCTCCTTGAGCTGGTACCTCCGGGGAAACTTACGCTGGACATCCCCGTACTACTGGTCAAAGATCACGTGCATTGGCTCAACCTACGCACTCGTGTAATCGAATTTCGTCCAATGGAGAGCCTGTGGGAGCCTTCTGACGACAACTGGGTGTTAGAATTCACAGAGGATGGGCAGTCAGTCGCTCGGCAGGGGCCGCAGGGCCAAACAATTCTGTTTGACATTCGGAGTCACACTTTCAGCATGATAGCACACACGCTGAGCCCACTTGAAAACTTCCAATACCTCATTGTCACTTGCAGCATGGATGTAGTCAAGGTCGATCTCCCTCGGTTTGGACTCTCTTTCTTTATAGACAAGGATGGAGAATTGCATTCACGGAACCAGAGAGGCATGGTTGTCGATAAAAATCAATCCACTGGTACAATGCTTGGACTTGTGAACCAGCTCGTTTTACGCCCAAAAGATCGACAAACTTACAGCGATCGCCGTGTCATCATTCCCCAAGGGGATGTAGTAGTGGAGCCCAGCGGTCACCATATCCAGGTCACCATCCATATTGATCCTGATCATGCTCGCCTTCCCTACCACTGTTACACCATTGACACGGAACTCTGCCGCCTGACGGGAAATGTTGGTCTCACGAATAAACTTTACAAGGTGTACTTGCACGCCGTGTGCAGTGCCCATGTTCCAGATCCGTTGACTCGACGCACTGGTTTGGAGGAAGCCATGTATTTGCTGCAATCTGCTGCATGTTTTTCCTTCATGAAGCTGGACCCATTCGAATGCAAGCTTCTAGCTTGGATAGGTTCCTTGACCGTTGATCGGACATGGTCCATTGCCAGCGGGAGGTCACAGAACGTCCACTGGCAAAGTGGCTTATCATCTTATGTCCAAAGTTGCGCATTCTACCATGCTGCCAGGGACATAGTCCAATATGCACGGAAGCTGCAGGTGCTCAGCGAAACACCGGTTCCAGTTTGTCCAAAATTTCCAGCACGCGATGAGTCCCTCCTGGAACGCGCTTCTCAGCGGTCCACTTTCCTTTACTCCCATGATTCAGTCAATTCTTTCTATCCCAGAAAATCGTCGAGCAGTGAATATACTTCCAGGGATGTTTATTGGTGTTCAACCAATGATCAAAATGCGTTTGATTGTGCACGCATGGTGCGCGACTGGAGGATCACGCTTGAGCCGTGCCAAGCGCTCTATGACATATTCGTTCAATGGAAAGAAATTTCTGGGAGAACAAACAATTTACTATCCCTTCGATACGACGGAGAGTGGTTGAAGCCTGACTTGGCCGAGATATGGATGACCGTCTACCAACTTTGCTGTGACGCAGACCGAGAGACTCACACATTCCAACTCGCTTTCACGTTACCAGCCATGGCTTATTCCTCTCCGGACAATATGAAATTTGCCACAACCATGCTCGCGTTTGCGGTTATTCCCGAGTTCCGTGCAATCCACTCCCCCACATATAACATATACGACCTTTCTTTTGGGATCAAACCCCTTGAACAGGATCTCTGCTACCATATCTCTTCCCATACCACCTTCCCCAACAGTCCCGAGGCGTTGTGGTCTAGTTACAACGGCGAGTCATCCCACGACTTTAATATTCGGCGACAAAAACACTTCCAATCTGAGTGTCTACGTGAACAGAAGTTGGCGGTCAGTATCCTTCTTGATTCTTGGCCTTGCGATTCCGTCCCTGCAAATGCTCTGCAGTGTCTAAGCCACTCCCGATACAACAAGCTTGCCCTTAGCGCCGTCCTTGCAAAGCAATACTCGAACTGCTATCGCAACCGGTGTCTGAAGGTATATCTAAATCGTGTGCGGACTGTGCTTGTTGACGTGGGGCTGAATTCCATGCCCTCCATCAAGCAATCGTACACATTCACCCCGAGCAATTCAGATGTTATATCAGTCACCACCGCCGTTCCCACTGAAGACTTATTCAGAAAGCCTGCGCCAGTCATCAAATTACTACCTGACCCTCTCAAACAGAGTGACGCTTTACTAAGCAACAGATCCTCTGGCAGCGGGCTCGATTCATCTCCATTAGAGGATGTCATCTCCAGGTTTTCACGACGTCGATTGGACCAGTTCGGTGTCCGCTATGCCGAAGATCTAGAAGACAGCAGAATCGATCTAGAGAACGAACAATCACTCGTTGTACCGGATCCAACCCGCTGGACAGTCAACATGTTGCAATATCATCATGTGTGGTGCAATAGGCTCTATAATAATGCTTTTCGCAGATTGGAAGAGCATCTAGCTCCCGTGGGTTTGGCGGAGGAGAGTTTATTCAATTCTGGGCAATGGCCGCGCATTACCATTACATTTCTTCTCGGTCTCCTCGCCTCTACGTCAAAAACACCTCTCTGTGACTCATGGAAAGCCCCTTTGACCAGTTTCGTCCATATTCTTCTTCGACTACAAAAATCACAACGACTTCTGAAGTTAAAGCTAGCAGCTGGTGTGGACAATGGAGAATTTCTGAAGGAGCTGATGAACGACGGTCACCTAGTAGTGGATGATACACAGACATATTTGGACTGGCTTCTAATTCAGGTATTCGATGGTTGACAACGATTGATATGATTGATCACTAACGGTACTAGGCAGATAATCGATTTCTTATCCGTCCCATTCAAGCTAGCGTTGCGATGGAGATGATTTCCCCAAGCTCAGGCAACAATACCGCCCTGCAGCTTCATATGGGGGAAGGAAAATCTTCCGTAATCGTACCTGTTTGTTGTGCTGCACTAGCAGATCGCAGCAATCTGGTACGGGTCGTCGTGCTAAAGCCTTTGGTTGTTCAGATGTTCCGGTTGCTCGTGGAACGGATCGGCGGCCTTACCAACAGGCGAATTTTCTACCTGCCATTCTCGCGTTCGTTGCACATTACTTCCAATCATGCAAGCATCATCCAGTCACTATTTGAAGAGTGCAAAGCCATTGGCGGTATTCTTGTCACGCAACCAGACCATATCCTCTCTTTCAAGTTGATGACTGTGGAGCAACAGCTTCCGCCCACAAATGCGGTTGGGCAATCCTCAGCAGAGCTGGCCGTGCCCCTGCTGAATACTCAGCGGTGGCTTGATAAGCACGCTCGTGACATACTGGACGAGAGTGATGAACTACTGCATGTCCGCTTCCAACTCGTCTACACTATGGGCGACCAACAGCACTTGGAAGGTTATCCTGATCGATGGACCACAACCCAACAGGTGATGACCCTTGTGGCAAAACATGCTCGCCTCCTTCACCAAGAATTTCCTCTTGGAGTAGAGTTCCAGCCAGGCGTTACCGGCACCTTCCCCCTCAGAGTCCTGGACGCTTGCGCAGCCGAAAGATTGATCAAGCTGGTTTGTGACGACATTCTTGACAGTAACCTTCCAAATTTCGCATTCGGACATGTGCCACGTCATATGAAAGACTCCATCCGTGAGTATTTTACCCTCTCGACTATTGGCCCACAGCTTCTTCACAATGTCCGGAACTACTGCGCTGGGTCCAATCTGTGGAATGGACTACTGCTCATTCGAGGACTTCTCGCACACGGTATACTGATATACACGCTGAAGGACCGGCGATGGCGCGTAGATTACGGCCTGGATCCTCAGCGCACAATGCTTGCCGTGCCTTACCGTGCTAAGGATGTTCCCTCATCTCGGGCAGAATTTGGACATCCAGATATTGCAGTCGCACTCACATGTCTTTCATACTACTACGAAGGCCTCACTGAGAAACAGGTCGCCCTCTGCTTCCGCCAGCTACTCAAGCAAGACAATCCCGCATTGGAATATGAGACGTGGACAAAGGGGTTACCTTCAGATTTGCTTCCAGACAACCTGAAAACCCTCAATGGAATCAATGTGGAGTCCACTGAACAGTTTACCAGTTGTTTGGTACCTCTCTTCGAGCGAAAAAAGGCCGTCGTAGACTTCTTCTTGGCTCAGTTCGTCTTTCCAAAGGAAGCCAAGGAGTTTCCACACAAGTTATCTTGCTCTGCCTGGGATCTCGCAGAGCGAAAGTTTTCCGGGTTGCCTACCACAGGCTTCAGTGGAACAAACGACCTTCGCTACTTGCTACCCACCACCATAGCGCAGCATTCACTAGACCACCAGCGCGGTACGAACGCTAGAGTCCTGAGTCACCTTTTGCAGCAAGAGAATGATCATTATGATCGGCTTGCTTCTGGTGGAAGCGCTAGAGAGCTTCTTAATATCATCACGAAGAAGTCGCCTGAAATCCGTGTCTTGCTCGACGTGGGTGCGCAAGTACTTGACCTGCAGAATGACGAGGTGGCGAAGTTGTGGCTGGAGATCAATCAAGATGCCCAAGCGGCAATCTATTTCAACAGGCACGATGAGCTTGTGGTGCGCACTCGGGATCATGTTGTAGAACTATTCTCCGCATCTTCCTTTGCTCAGCAAGTGGATCAGTGTGTATTGTATCTGGACGATGAACACACCAGAGGAACAGACGTGAAGTTGCCTAGCGGATTTCGCGCAGCTGTTACATTAGGGCCAAAGGTCACCAAGGATCGCCTTGTCCAAGGTGAGGACCCAATGTATCCGTTCATTATGACGTTCAATAACATATTACCAGGTTGCATGCGTATGAGAAAGCTTGGCTACCGTGACGGTCACTCAGTCATGTTCTTCGCACCTCCAGACATAGATCGCAGCATACGAGCTGTGAATAACAAGAGTAATGGAGATATTCATGTGTCGGATATCCTCGTGTGGGCGATGACTGAAACGTGCTCGGACATCGAACATCGCGCTTCACAATGGCTTCAGCATGGAGTAGATTTCCAATCTCGCCACAGTGCATGGTCATCGTTCTTATCCGGCGATATTGAACCCGCCAAACTCACCCGTTCGTGGCTACAGCCAGAGGCCAAGCAATTGGAAGAGCTATACGCTCCAGCTCTTACGGACGCATCTTCACAGGCGTCACAAGACGAAGATCTTCTGGAGAGATGCAGGAGCCTCGGATTAGGCATTTCGCCTGACAACCGCCTAGACGAAGAGCAAGAGAGAGAAGTGTTACATGAGATTGAGCGCGAGAGCGAGGTGGAGAGACCACCACCAGTGTCGGCTGCTACCCATAGCATTGACGAGGATGTCAGGTCCTTCATCCGAACAGGCTCCATTCCGGATGGATCGCATGTGTTCACTGCTGTTTTCGACACCCTCGCTACAACTTCTGCTGCTTTCTCAGGGCGCCAGCCGTGGTCACGGGACGTGTTTGCCTCGAGGGATTTTACCACAACCGTTCTGACGGAAGAAAAAACGGACAACTACACACGCCCAGTCAACTGGATTCTTTCAAGTACAGCATCCCGCGCGCAGGTGCTAGTCATTGTCAGCCCCTTCGAGGCTAACGTTTTATTACCTGACATTCGAGCAAGTAAGCAAGTTCGTTTGCACATCTATACACCTCGCGTCACCAAGATGATGAAGTCATGCGACGACTTGCGCCTTTACATCACCCCATCAAATCCCGCGCGATGGAATCCAGATGACACCCTTATCCGTCAGCTCAACGTCTTTGCTGGACAACTATACTTTCCTCAACAGCGCGCATACCTGAAATTGTGTCGCCTCTTGGGGCTTTACACTGGAGATCTCAAATATCAGGGTGTCACTGAGATTCAAAGTGATGGATTTATCAAACTGGAGCATCGGCCTCGTGCTGAGGATTCCCTCAACACCTTCCAACAATCGCCTGTCCCCATGTTGAAAGCACTTTTTGGTATCCGCCGCAAGGGAATGGGGTACTTGCCTACGCACATCGGAAAGCTATTGAATGCTCGATATTTGACGAGCGAGGACTTCCAAGAGACAGCTTGATCGGTAAGTTACAGTTCTTTTGTATGCAAATGCTCATTGACGCACGTGCAGCCACCCCATAGTAGTACTCAGCATGAACTTTTTTCGTATCCATTATCTTGCAGGTCTTCCAAACTACATGACTTTCATCACTGCATCATATTTCCTTCAGATTTTGTATAGTATTTGGCTGAAAAGTTAACATTGATCCAAGTACGAGCACACCAATATTATGTCAAGCTGTATTATCAGGGAGTAGCCCTCCATCTTTATCACGAATACTTTGGTGCCATGGAGAGATTGCACAAGACGAGACTGGCGAGAATCTGTTTGAGCTGCTTCAACTAAAAAGGCGTCGGCAATCCTAGAACAAACCTACCTGAGGCCTCCTTTCGCATCACACTTCCCACCCTCGCTTTCGATCCCCTTCATCATCTTTTGCTCCCGCCTCACTTTTTAATCACAGGTGAAGTATCTTTGCGTTGCAGTACGGGTGGACAAAATGCTCACCACGTCTCCTTTGAAGTTATCGGGAGCCTGCTGCCTGCCACATATTGTGGATCTATCTCCAGAATCTTCACTTCCATGTTTGCCTGCGCCAGAGTTAAATGAGGTAAGGAAGGACACGACGACCACTCCGTTCCATCCAAATTATGCCCTTCTTCTTTCACCGTCGATGGATTTGGAATTTTGGATAGCAAAAGGTTTGCAGATGCTGTCACGTTAGAAATTAAAATAGTTCTGATTGAAGAATGCGAACATACAATTTGGTCCTCATGAAGGGACTGTTTGTTGATATTGGAAGATAATGAGATTGACTTGCGATGGTAGGATGTAGTACAGGCTTATAACATGGAAGTTCAAGACTTATTCCAGACAGAGGCACGAGTTTAAATTAGTCACGTGATGCTGCGCACTGCTAAGCAATGCTCCGTGGCGGTACAGGGCGGTACTCGGAGGTTAGGCCTTTAAGCATAAGGAAGGTCACGGTATGATAGGCCCATGCTGTTCTTTGACTATCCATCGCCTCTTCAACCAAATCAGCCTAAATTTGATCAACCTTCTTCTGCCTAGGCTACACTTTAAATCACCGCACACTGCTCTCACAGCAGACTGCACTGCTTCCGGAGACCAGAATAACTCCATTTGTGTATAAAACCAGAGGCGCATCCGCAGACATCATTATGGTCATTGTCGAGGAGAAGTGCATGGAATCTGTTCCACCCCCTCCTTATTTCCCTAATGCCAGCACTCTACCCCCACCCCCTTTCCCTGGTGAACATCGTGGAGCAGCGAAGCCATCTGACCTACCTCCCCACCTATTATTGAAGATCGTGTATATGACGTTTCCGCAAACGCCTGGGGTTGATGAGGGAAAGATCGAACGGCAGAGAAAGACACTTTGTTGGCTCTCCACACAACTTCGGTCGGTTAATCGCTCATTTTACATTGGTATGTGCTGTTCAAGTCCTTTGACCATGACGGCCGGAACTCACCTTGCCAGCGAAGCGTGTGAGCATGTGCTGCGCTCCACATATTTACCCGCATACAATTCGATGATACGCCCTCCCTACTCATCCGATCCATTCCCATTTTCTTCCTCGGCTTCTACTTCCTCTTGTGATACTATGCAACGAGAGACCAAAGTTCTTGACCTTTTCATCGCACTCAAGGTCCACGAAGATGTTATGGTCGATGACTCATCGCTTCACCTCGAGCGAGAGGATTCGTTCAAAGACCTTTTCGACCTTATGCAACCACGCAGCCGGCTAGAAGACCTCGTTCGACACTACGGTGTCCGCGAGGGAGTTGTCCATACAAACCCATATGGAGTGAACGCCTCGTCTTCATCATCCAGCGTGTTCAGGGTGAATAATAGCGGAATTGGATCTGCGAGCACGAGCAAATGGACATCAGACCTTGCGCCAGTACCATTCAGCGCGCTGTCTATTTCGTTCTCGCCAAGGCGGGTTGGCCTCGTTCTAACAGCTTCAGGTAGGAAACGGACAATTGTGGATGTAGCACGGACGAGAGATGAGAAGCTAGAGGTTACCGCAAAGAAACTTGCGGGGCAACTAAAGGTTTGGCTCAGCGATGGTTCGAGATAATCTAGTGGTGTCATTTAGTTTCAGAGTCCTTTCTTTCAGTGCTTGTTGATAGCACGTGGACTTTTTAAAGTGCACTGCAGTTCTCCAAGAATGAAGTTGTGCGTTTCAGGCATGCAACGTTCTAAAAGTACCTGACATGATAAGGCCGAGGGGTACTTTTGCTGAGTTCTGACACACCTATAGGGATCAGTAGGGGTCCACACGATATTGAACCTTCCGAGACTGCGAGACTATCCAAGTTTCAAATTTCAGACCCTGAGGTTGATAAAACACAGTGGCAGTGGCTGAGTGGCCACACCCTGAAGCTTCATTTGGGTGCCCGGTTCCTCCGAGCCGGCTTGAGGAACTCAGTTATCAAATCAAGCGCTTTATGAATTCTGCACATACGATGGTTGTCGAGTCGGTCCAACTTGCCGACGTCAGCTGATCTGTCTAGAAATGTCCAAACTGGTCCCGCTTTGGTTCTAAGCTTATTGCACCTACTAGTAGTCTAGTAGCAGTGTAGCACGCACGTCTCGTGTCTGTATATGCACAGTAATACTCAAGAGTCAATTGATCGTCTAAAAAAATGCCCCGACGCGCAAAGGTGCATTTTGTATCACTGAAATCATCCCTAGTCAATCTCCCAATATCAGTTTACGGTCCCCTTCTCGAGAGACAAATTGTATGTTCACATTGTTTCTTCGTCTCATACTTTGACTCTGACTTCGGTTGGAACTATCCTGGTTACTATTGCAGCGTCCGCAAACCCTTGCTGTCCACTTGAAGCCCACCGATGGCGAGGGAAGAGAGGTGTATGTTGGCTGGACCGGCATGGCTTCTGCATCATCCCTCGCCTCATTCAACTCTACCGCAGGCGAACGTGGAATAGAAACCCTAGAGATAGATCCTCAGTACGCAGCAGGCTTGGGCTTCAAAGAAGGAGATGTGGTGCGTTCTTTATTCTCGCGCACAGTTATTCCTTCCTCCGGCTGATGGTGTAGCTTGAATCGGCAGGTGGAATTAGGATTGTTATATGACCTCCCATACGCAAAGACAGTGAGCACTGAGCCCCTCAGTGCAGATGACTGGGACGTAGTGGTAGGTCTTGACATCCCGGCCGACTAGCTGGCCTGACCCCACCTATGCCAGGAACTACATGCAGCACACGTTGAAGGTACTCTTCTCTCCCAAGTGCGAGTCGCGAATGTCGGACAAGAGATCAATGTTTGGGTGCTCGGGCGGACGAGAGTACGACTAAGAATCGGTGTGTGCCATCATAATATCTTGGTATCCCCTACTGATCTTCCCTTAATCGCAAGTCTCGCTCGACACGTCTGTGACCGCGGCGCTGCTCACAACCGATACTGAGGTCAGCATTGCCCCTAAGTCGCACAGGAAATCCAAAGCAGAAACAAAATCATCATCTCCAACGAGCTTAGAGCGCGGAACCGTTGTGTCGACGCAGGACAAACCCTCGTATCCATCCGAAATCCTCCGAGTGCTCCCTGCGCGCCTTGTCAACTTTCCCGAAACGACCAATCTACGCGACGCCAAAACGCGCGCATACATTCATCCTTACACTCTATCGCTGCTTACAGGGACTCAGTACATCCCGTTCGACCCAAATCCTAATCCTCCACGTTCGGGATGGTGGTGTGCGCATGCACGTTGGCTGGAGCCGCCCAAGGATCCGACGGATATCATAAACTCCGGTACTAGAAAAAATGCCAGCATCAAACCAAGTGCTGAAGCTGAGCAGGAGGATGGCGAAGCAAAGATACTGCACCCAGGGTCGAACAGAGTGCTGGGAGCAAAGGATGATGAAGGGAACGGAAAGGACGGGTGGGAAGTGTGGCTGGGAATCTCTGATTCCGTTATGGAGACCCATGTGATGTTTGTCGGTGAAGTGAAGGGTGGGGTCGGGGACTGGGATCTCGTTCGGTGCGTTGCTTTCTTTTCTTGTATGTAATTCCACCACCATCACTAATATAGTGACTTTGTAGGATATCGCTCACAGGTGCCCGTGAGCAAGGGCCCACAATCAATGGAAAACTCGATGAGTACGTTCGTACATTCCCTTCGGTGCGATCTCAGTTGATTATTCCGTTAGTCCTGCGTCCGCATCATCCTCGCCTTCAGCTTCGGTAGCGATCTCACCAGAACTAGTGACATCATCGCTTCGTCTATCAGGTGTCTCTAATATTCTCGAAGACATGACAAAGACTTGCGTCGCGACCTACGCCGTACATGCGCGCAAAGATGTTGTTCAGGGAGGTATGTGTGAAGGATTTTGTTTGCAGCGCATTCTGATGGATTTTCGAATCTCGCGTGTTCACATGTATCGCAGTCCCTGGTATTTTAATAACAGGCCGTCAGGGAATGGGCAAGACATCAGTTGCGAAGGAGATCGCGCGCAGACTGGAAGCAGATGAGCGCGTATATGCTTGTGAGTGTGATATCTTGTGCTCTAATACTTTTTTGGTCTAACCATTTTTGTTGCTACTCGAAACCGTCGATATCAATCAGCCGTACATTATATCGACTTCTCCCCGCTCGCATCCAAGCCCGCTCAGACCCTCGGTGCACTCTTTCGCCACCTCTTTGTGCTAGCACGATGGCACAGCCCCTCCGTCCTTGTCTTCGACAACCTCGACAAAGTCTGTGCTGCAGAGGTCGAGCACGCGGATTCTTTCCGCCAGCGACATATAACGGAGCTCTTCCTCATGCAATATAGCTCCAACGCACGTCTTGCACCATCCAATTTCCGTGGTATCGTGCTCCTCGCCACAGCAGAAAGCCAGACTAGCGTGCACTCGCTACTACACACGCTGCATGTCTTTAAGGATGTCGCTTCCATTCCTCCGCCGGGAAGGGAGGCACGGAAGGAGGTGGGTTCCTCTTTCATTATTGGTACCTTTTGAGTAGAAACGACTTGAACAGATTCTCGCTAGTCTTGTGTCACGTCGGCTTTCCATGGCCAAGGAGCCACTATCATTTGTTGTCGATGAATCCGACCCACCTGAGTACACTCGACTCGCAGTAGGGACGGAGGGCTATTCTCCTGTAGACCTGCGCGACCTTGTCACACGGACGATACAGGTCGCCGTTGGGCGGGCAGTGTCAGAAGTGGGCGTAGGCGTTGAGAAGGTGAGCATCACCTAATGCGCGTGTTTCACTATTTGACAATGGTTCGGTAAGGTCACACTTTCGGCGAACGATTTTGTAGAGGCCCAAGAGGGATTTGTGCCTCTCTCACTGAGGGATGTGCCCTTACAAAAGTCGGACGTTGAGTGGGCTGACATTGGCGGTGCGTGTTTCCCTTTGAGAATATCTATAGTTGGTCCATTAATTGTGGCGGTGCAGGCTTAAAGGACACCAAGCTCGCATTGAGAGAAACCCTAGAATGGCCGACGAAGTATGCTCAATTGTTCAAGCAGTCTCCGCTGCGGTTGAGATCTGGGTGCGTTTATAATACTCTCTGTTGTGGATGCGATTTACGGAGGGAATGCAGGCTACTATTGTACGGCTATCCTGGCTGTGGAAAAACACTACTTGCGTCAGCCGTCGCGAAAGAGTGTGGGCTGAACTTCATCAGCATCAAGGGCCCAGAGCTGTTGAATAAATATATCGGACAGAGTGAAAAATCAGTGCGTATATATGATCTTTCTCAAGAAAACACTCACTCTGTTTAGGTGAGAGATATTTTCGATCGTGCATCGGCTGCAAAACCCTGTGTACTCTTTTTCGACGAGTTTGACTCCATTGCACCAAAGAGGCAAGTTTATGTTTATGTACTCTATCTGCTATATCCATAAATGTTGTCTGCAGAGGACACGACAGCACGGGCGTGACGGACCGTGTGGTGAATCAGATGCTAACCCAGATGGATGGTGCCGAGGGGCTCGATGGAGTCTATGTTCTCGCTGCAACGAGGTGGGTTATGTCCATTACCACATTGTCCGATTGTTGATCTTCCGCAAGTCGACCAGACCTCATCGACTCCGCACTACTTCGTCCCGGTCGGCTTGATAAATCGTTGCTATGCGACCTGCCTGGTATCGAGGACCGAAAAGATGTCAGTGCCCCACCGTGTTTCATATACCACAATCTTGACATTGTCTTGTGCACCTGTTCAGATTTTGGTTGCAGTATCCCGGAAGCTAACGCTCGCACCCTCTGTGGACTTTGATCAACTTGCAAGTATCACTGAGGGCTTCTCGGGTGCGGATTTACAGGCCCTCGTGTACAACGCGCATCTAGAAGTAGTGCATGCTGCTATAGATGCTGAGAAGGCGGATGGTGATGGTGGAGGTGATGTCGAGGCGGGTCGGAGGAGGGTAGGCGTGGGGCTGACTGATGATGTCCCGGTGAAGTATGTGGTGCTGGGCGCTGGGAAGGATGCAGCAAAAGCTGCGTCTAAGGAAGACGAAACAAAAATGCAACGACGAGTAAGAAACTCGTGCTGGCACAGATGGATCTTTACGACTGATATATTTCTAGCTGCAACAAATTAAGGCTTCGAAGTCTGGGGGGACGGAGGAGGACAGTAGGGCTGTTGTGACGCCCAAGAAGGTCTGTATTTTTTCTCTTCTCGTATATATCCTTCTAATGACTGCTGTTTTCTGTAGCACGAGATCTCTCAAGAGCATCTATTGAAAGTACTTAAAACGACCAGGCCGTCTGTTTCGCGTGAGGAACAGGTAAGGCTGGGGAGAATGTGAGCGTCTTCTTTTCCACCAAGTGTCAATATTTATTCATCATGGGCAAACTAGATATCGAGAGTTCGTGTCAGATCGAGGTGGCGGCGAGAAGACATTCCCAACACCGGGCGGTGATAGCCGAGTGGGGAGTCGAGCGTCACTGGGATGATGGGCACTGTACTCAGATGCTGCATGTTGAGTCCTGAGTCTTATGGGTATCCAACACAGGATCCGAACCTTGAGTGCAGCTCGAGATCGTCCTGACTTCTTTCACGGTCACATGAAAAGCATTATTTATTGCCTCAAAACTTCAACCGAGTCTTTCGTAGACCTTATGATAGAAACGGTCATTTCCTTTTACATCAGGACTCAGGCCCAGGAGTAGGCTAAAGTACACTAAATGTTAAACGTGGGTAATACCTAGGACCCAGTTTATAAATGTGCTCGTGCGTGTCACTCTACAATTTGTTTTGTCTAGATAAGACATTAAGGATTCCCGGGCCTGCTGTAACTGCAAGCCCGAGTGCCGGCACAGCCCCTGGTTTCCGGGTCTCGGGACCCCGAAACGCGGCAGCTGTGCTTTATTCACAACCAACACGATCTCACATACAGAACTCGTTGAATTTTTTTACAAGTAGAATGGGCCCAGCGAAGAAATCCCAGAGACGTGCTAAAGCGCCATTACCATGTACGTCGATCTTGATAACAACAATTGATGATGATTTGTTAATATTGCTAACCCTAGTGAGGTCCCGCACAACAAGATCCAAGGGTAGAGTGAGTGTTACGCATGTCATCCATGCATGCTACTCACGTTTTATCTCCTCATTTCATTCTTATATTCCACACAGCCTATAACAGATCCAGAACAGAACACTCAGCTTCTTACGGAGCAACTTCGCTCGCAGGGTCTCTACGCTGCACAAACAGTGGGCGATGGCAATTGCCTATTTCGGGCTCTCTGCGATCAATTCTATGGCTCGCCGTCGCAGCACCTCCAGCTGCGCCAAGATATATGTGACTGGATCGAGGGCCATGCCCAGCGCTATCAACCCTTTTGTGAGGATGAACGTGGACTAAGCGCCCATTTGCGGTGCATGCGAGAACAAGGTGTGCCAGGGCTTGCCCTCCCGATTTCTTCCTGTGCAGCGTTGTGACGCGCTATAGGCACTTATGGCGCGCACCTTGAACTTTCTGCATTCGCGCACTTTGCGCGAAGGAATGTCAAGGTTATCCAGCCTGGATTGGTATACGTCATCGAGTGGAAGGCGGGTGCCGAGAGCGAGGACCAGTCCTCATCTCAAGATAACGAACGAGATGCGCGGAGGAAAAAGAGGCAGCAGCAGCGCGACGAGATGAACGATTCGCAGGAGTCGGAGGGGACGATATACGTGGCGTCAGTCATCATTTCCCCTGGCATGTCTATTGGCTACGCGCTAACCTGCCTTTCTAGATATCATGACTGGGAACATTTTTCTTCGATACGAAACTTGAGAGGGCCGCACGCTGGTCTTCCCGAGGTTTGCGAGCTACCCGCCGATGCAGTACCGCCTGCCGCTTCGCCCGCCAAGAAGAAAGCAGTTCCCCGGAGCAAAGCCAAATCTGATCTCAAGAGTTTTCCCAAGAATAATCCAATCGACAATGTTAAATCGAATCGTGAAAATACACCACCAACACCTGCACATGTCCCACTCCCCATATCCCGCTCACCCTCACCCCTTTCTTCCACTGGTTCCTTGAACATCGAGGTGGACTCACTACTTCCCGTACCCGGTCAGCCGACCGGTCCCCATCAGTCTTTTACATCGAGTATCAGAACTCATCGGTCACCTAAGCGTTCTTTCGACGAATCGTCTGGATCGTCGACATCTGACGCGATTTCTAAGCGGACGCGAACACGAACCTCACGACGCTCGCCCTCTCGCACACCCTTGAGTCAAGTCAGGGCAGATGATGACATGGATGACTCAACACCTGACCTCTCCACCCCCGGCTCCTCCGCAGAATCCAGCCGTTCATCATCTGCCGCTTCATCTCCGCTTCCTAGCACCCCTCCCGCATGCAATACGCCGCCTCCCGAAACCCAGAAACCCCTTACTCGACGCCAGCGCAAGGCACTCGGTCTTCCAAAGTCACGTACTGCATATATGAGCGCAGGAAAGATTGTCATTCCTGGCGGGAAATTCAAGAAAGCTTCCAAAGCGGCTGACGATGAGGAATGGCAGAAGAATGGCACCGGGCGGCTTGATGTGCGCGGGTTTCGCGAGCTCAAGATCTAGCCTTCATGCATCATCAAACTCTTCGCCACGAATCTGCACGCATATTTTTACGCCCCTTCATCTAGAACATTGGTCATATCCACGCAGTGATACCCAACACATCATAATTTGCATTCCATCATATCACTCTCCCATTCACGAATATGTTTACGACAGTCCTGGTGACCTGGTGCGGTGTTATTTCTATGTTAGTGTGCCATGTACGAGCACTTGGAGACTTCATAGAAGTTCGGACTCCATCTGCACGACTGTATTTTAGCGAGTTGCATACGTAAGCTGAATGTTATTATTACGCTTACAGTCATTTGCGTATTGGTGTACTCTAGAGAAAGATAACCCGCGCGAGAAGCATTTTGGCAACTGTATTAAAACGAAATCTAAGCGCATGGCATGATCGGCAACAGATTCGCCATCCGCTACATCAGCTATTTAAATGTGTCTAGCGCGAGGACACAGCACTCATTCCTCAATAAGCACTCCTTGGTTGGTATTGTAATGTGACTGGCGCTCAGACATTGTCTATTGTTAGCGACTGAAACAACATCCTCAGATGTAGTCGATGAGTCGGGCGATGATCGATGACATCGATGAGGAGTCATCAGGTGCATAACTTATCAGGGCGTTCCTGGCGGACGCCGGGAGCAATGAAGGGCGATGTTTGCAGCAGTGTACACGTATTGGATACAGATAATGAATCCATGATGCGTCTAAATAGATGCCTGAAGATTAGGAGCGTGAGTGAACCAGTATGTGGTGTGAATGAAGATATGAATACACCAATGTTCAAACCACACGTGTTATACTGTACCCATGACCTATGCATCAACTCATCAGAAGATAACCCTCGTGGTCCTCGATGCGGAATATAATACGAGTGCTATCAGCGAGTTCACCCTGCAACAGATCCCGAGAGTTCTCCCGTAAATCTTCCACAGCGTCCGCGTGCAGCAATCGGACAGTCTTGAGCTTCGAACCTGATATGGTACGAAGAGCGGCAAATAGTTGCATAAAATGGAATGTGGGTGCCTTGCGTAGCTTGGAATATAATCCCAGATATGAAACGGAAGGAGGGAGGATGAGATTTGGGTTGACCTCCGTCCATGAACGGATGTAAACGACGAGGTCGTTCAAAGACAAACAGCATTCACTGAGCAGATCCAGCTCTTTTTGAAGACGGTCGGCTTGAAGGGAATAGTCGAGGTGCACGGTAGTGACATTCGCGCAGCTCAGCCTCACAAAATGTTTCCAAGTATTGTCAAGGAATGGAGGAGGGATGCAGTCGTAAGTAAGTTTTCTGAGAGCGGGGAAGTGATTGGCGTCTCTATCGTCTGGCAGATAATCCCGCAAAAAGACCGACATAAGTGACAAGGACTGCAGCTTGGTCATAACGGGCACGTCGAGTCTAGCAGAAGGAGACTTGTCCCTTGTGCTGGGCGAGCAAATTGGGCAGTGGAGCACACTCAAATTTGGTGCTGCAATTATCAACTTCATCAGATCCTCTCTGAAAAGTAATCAGCAAGTGCCGTATGCACGAGAAGGCTGAGCTCATACCTGGAGGGGCGCAAAATGGACTCAGAACAATCAAATACGCGCAATGATGGACCGCAAGATTCAGCTAGCGCCATCACGACTGATTCGGGTAGCTGCCGAAGCCAGGAATCATTATAGGGAAGCATGGGCATAGATAGATTGACGATCGACAAGTTTGGGAACCGTCGAATTATGTTGGCGAGGAGGGCGTAATCAGATGCCTCACAATGGTCATCCTGTATCAAGACATCAAGTCGTCTCGTCCACCACCCTACGTGAACGGAGCGGGCTGCTCCAGAGGATCTCCCACCGAGGGAGACAAACAAAGAAGACAGGGTAGCTGGGCGAGTGACCAGAACACTCTGATAGAGAAAATTGGTGGCAAGAGCGTTCCATGTCTTACAGACAAGGATAATATTCCTCTTTGTGATAAGAGACTCTTTCAACAGTTTGTGCTCGTGGTCTTTGACGAGGGGACGCGGAAGATCATATAGGTTTGAGCCATCATAACTCAGCAGACCAGGGATATCTGTTGCGAGGCTAAATATTGTAATCCAAAGTTCAGGAGGAAAAGGGGGCAGATTGCACACAGTGGAATCGTGGGAGATTGCTAAAGTCATGGTCCAGACTCCAGTGAAGTTCTGTGCTGTAGATTTTGTTCAATCACGTAAGACCGACTTGGATGCAAGATGGGCGTACCAGTAAGAAGAGCCACAGTCCACTAAGGGAGGTGTTGGCGAGGAAGATAAAATGATTGTTTAAGGGTTTATATAGATGTCCCTCAGTCCCTGAGACTCGGAGTTTAAGATATGCCCCTTGGGAAATCAGCGACACAAGTCACCTCGCTTACAGCCTTCTGTAATTATCGGCTATTACAAATCCATAATATCAATATACCTGATCATGATTGTACGCAAGGTACTGGTGGAGCGGTATGCATTTTCAAAGAACCTTCGCCAGCTCAACCCGCCCCCGACACATCACGTGACATTGTTAGCGCGCTGGTGCCTGCATCTTGAAAAGGCATATTATTCACACACCTTATATATTAGGGCCGAGGCAACCTGCAGATCGGTGGCTTCTGTTCAAGCATACAAATGACAGTATCATCACATAGAAATGTTTTCAATTTGCTAACACTGGGACTCATATTCCATGTCGTATTCATTGCTTCTGTTTTTGACTGCTACTTCACTAGCCCAGTCGTCCACGGCATGCTTCCTCGCAGAGCTGGCTCGGGGGAAGCAAAACGGGTCGTTCTCATTGTAGGCAAGTATAGCTTCACCTGCTGTAACACCAACTGCTCAACCAACAATTCCTATTAGGAGACGGTCTACGCGCAGACCTTCTATTTGGTGTGAACGCGTTCTCTTTCATTCCTTCCTCACCAAAGATTGTAGCGCCTTATTTGCGTGATATTATTCAAACACGAGGGGCGTTTGGATTGTCGCACACTCGAGTACCAACGGAGAGTCGACCTGGGCATGTCGCAATCATCGGTATGCCACTGCTCGATACGTCAATAATATTGGGCTGACTTGAGAAAATTCAAGGGGGAATGTATGAGGATGTCTCTGCTGTGACCAAGGTAAAGAGCCGATTTCTTGTTTCTTCTTGTCATTATATACTGATGAGAATCGTGAGATAGGGTTGGAAAACGAATCCAGTCAGTATTGTAGCAACAGACACCGCGAGCGATATCTCATCCCTTCTCCAGGTTCACTTTGACTCCATATTCAATCAATCTAGTCACACCTTCTCCTTCGGTTCCCCAGACATATTACCAATGTTTGCCCAAGGTGCAACTCCCGGAAAAGTTGACACTTGGAGCTATGATGAGGAGGACGAAGACTTTACGAAAGGCACGAATGTCCAGAACTACTGCAGTCATGTTATTAAATCAGACCGACCGGATAGATGCCACCGCTCTAGATACCTGGGTTTTGGATCAACTTCAGACGTTATTTAAGAACGCATCATCGAACGACTTGCTTAATTCAGAATTACGTGCTGACAAAGTGGTATTCTTCCTGCACCTCCTTGGGCTGGATACCACTGGTCACTCGTATAGGCCACACTCCGAGGTGAGCATCTCCATAAGTGCGCTTTTATTGATTTACTCCGTTACAGGAATACATGAACAACATCCAAGTCGTCGATCGCATCGTCCAACAAACAGAAGAACTTTTCTCCAACTTCTACCACGATGAAGAGACAAGCTTCGTATTTACAGCTGACCACGGCATGTCTAAGATCGGTAACCATGGCGATGGCGGTGAGGTCCGCGCTGTATCGGTTTTAACAATGAGGTACTGAATGAGTTCGCAGACCCGGATAACACGCGTACCCCACTAATTGCATGGGGGCGAGGCATCAGGGGCCCACTTCCTGACATTATTCCTTCTTCGCATGATGAGTACTCTCGGCTCTGGCAACTTGACGACTTTCTGCGACGAGACGTGGAACAAGCGGACCTTGCACCCCTGATGGCTGCGCTGCTTGGTATTAACTACCCTGTAAATTCAGTGGGAATTCTCCCTGATGCAGACCCTACGCGACCTGGCTACTTGCTACCGCGAGAAGGAGAGTCAGCCTTGGCCCAGCTTGCATTGGCAAACGCAGAAAGTATTTTAGAACACTACCGAGTAAAACACGGTGCGTCCCAAATGCGCTATCTGGCTTCTCTGTCCATAACTAGCTGGCTGGTAGAATCGAAGGCCGTACAAACCATTCTATACAAAGCTTTCGAACCTTTAGAAGAAGTCACTCGAGACGGGAAGCCTTCAAGAGTATCCTGGTTGTCCAAAATAGAACGTTTGATCAGTGATGGAAGATGGTTCGAAGCCCGTCGAGAGACAGCTGAACTCATCAAGGTCACTCTACAAGGTCTCCGATATCTCGAAACGTAAGCTGCTTGACTACTACTAGGAACAATTACTGAGAGAATGCAGCTATAATCGAGGACTTATACGGATCATCGTCATAATAGCATATCTGGGATGGTCTGCTTATGCATCGTTGTCAATTTTCCCCCCGTCAGCTTCATTGGTTTCAGACAGGCAGCGTGCCGTGGTCAGACTTGCCACCGCAACCATACCAGCAATATTTTGGGCACTGTTTGCTGCAGAGAGAGCTCCATGGACGTTTTATGTCTATGTAACTTTCCCCTGCTATTTCTGGCAGCAATTCGCACTGCATGGAGCTCCAATCGTTGTGCAACAATTCAAGTCGAACGACAGACGCGGACCTTTTATAGTTAGAGTGTTCCTTCACTTGGTTATTGTGGTGGTTGTGCTCCAGTGTATGGTCGTGCGTCGACCCTTGTTCATTTTATGAAGCTCGTTTGACTTACAAATGATTCAGGCTGCCTACACTCACCGGTCGCTGTGGGGCATTGGTTTTGTGGTTATGGGCATTTTATGGCCATATGTGTCATGGCCAGGTCACGTTCGGTCGCAACACCCGAGACTCTTACTTTCCTGGATGAGTAGCTGTCTTGTAACTGGTATATTCCCCCTACTCAGCGTTAACAAGAGAGAGGATTTGTACATGATGTGAGCGCAGTCTGACAGATTTGTGCATATTGCCCATGCTCACCTATGTGTTAGCATGTGCGGAGGGGCAATGATTCTTGCAGTTGCCGCAGGTTGTACGCGTTTTGCGCCGAACGGTGCTCCGAAAGCCGTAAAACTATCTGAGATCACCCAGGTAGGTAGTTGTAAATGGCGCTATGTAGTTAACTTATTCGTATCCAAGGTGTTGTTTATCTTGCTCGCCATGACAATTACTGCAAGCTCAGTGAAGAGTTTACAAGCAAAGCAGGGATTGTCCATCATTAACCAAACTTCAGCATGGCTCATACTCGGTACCCTTGCTAATCAACTGACATCAGTCATTCATCTGACTTTTATAATTCTCAGCTGTATCGTCGATATATCCATTCACCTCTAAAGCTCAGCACAGCACTCCAACCTCCAGAATCATATCGCTTTTCCTGGGCTTCGGCGTCTGTTTCGTGATTCTTTCGATCAGCGTTGAAGGCCTATTCTATGCCGCTTTCACATGCAATTTACTCTTGTGGATAGAAGTCGAAGCGATCGTCCAGTCGAATCGAGCTGGGGCCGCATTGCATAATCAAGGATACGAGTTTCACACTGACCACATCAGAATAGCACTCTTTTTCTTGTTTTTCGTTCAGGTGGCTTTCTTTGGAACCGGCAAGTGAGTGATGGACAGGACTGACCTTCGTGGCGCTGATGTTGATGATTGACCATGTCCAGCGTTGCTTCAATTTCGTGAGTTTCCCCGACGAGTTGATCCAGCTCTGCTGCTCACCTCTCGTAGATCGTTCTACTTGGAACCTGTGTATCGTCTGGTACCGATTTTCAACCCATTCTTGATGGCAGCGCTATTGGTGGGTTCTTCAAACATTGCTTCGCATACCGGAAGTTTGAATGGATTACCACAGATATTCAAAATTGTCGCTCCATATGTGATCTTATCGGCTGTTTTTGCCACTTTGAATGCAAGACTCCACCTACCACCCTTCTCGCTATTCCTCGTTGCTCTGACGCTCACTGATGGTGGGTTGTTCCTTTTGACCTGCACTGATCACTAATATCTAGATCAGGAATGACAATGACGTTTTTCCTGAACGTCACGGATACCGGTGAGTAGGCTAGCTAGTGGTCAGATCGTATCGAATTGACGTATGACACAGGATCGTGGTTGGAGATTGGGCAATCGATTAGTTTCTTTTGCATCACTTCTCTATTATTGGTTTGGTCAGCTGGTATCTGCACCGCTGGGGAGTATCTCATGGTAGACACGTTGGTGTTTCACAAGTCCACGGACAGTCACAAGCTAGAATGAGGATGCACTTGGCCCACTACTCGTAAAATAGATTAACTATTTACGACTACAGAACAAATACGTGTTTTCGGGATTAGGGACGGGTAAATGCTGGGCACTATTAGTATTTGAGAGGATCACAGGATGCCCTTCTCTACAAACCCGCCAACGAAGATTTTCCTCATGTCGACAGTGTGGTCGTCTAACTATTCACTTTTCGCATAGCTGGGATTTGATTCATCTCATCGGGCAGCAAATTAGGCTCGGCGCCTACTGCAATTGTGGGTACTCTCAAAAAAAACAGGGATGATCAACTAACGCACCGCCGTCATGGTAGCTTTACAACCTGGGCCAAAGATCACTTGGACTGCGGTGCCAGGTTATTAGCAGGGTGGGCGAACCTTGCTTTTATGGGGCCAATGGCAGAGGACGGTGTGGTTGGTGTTACCAGTGTGCATGGATTGAGGTTGAAAAAAGTGGATGACACCGCCACAGTGCTTAGAGGTGGACATACCTACGTACTTTCGGGGATCCATACGAATGCTCCTCAGTGACTGCCCGCGCGGAGGGAGAAATAGTGAAATGATACAATTATGATTGGCTCGTCCTGGCTTCTGCATAGATACATCAATGTGTGGATTATCGTCCGTCTTATTATGCGAAAACAGTATCTGCGCGTATGGTTCATTGTAAATTTGAAAGAGAGTAACTTCATTGATGAAAATGAGATCTGCATACCTTATGTCTGAGTCGTCTCGATCAAAGCGGAGGTTGAACGTTGCTGCACGGAGCTCCACTCGATCTTGATGGCATCTGCCCCACTGTGATCGTTCGCTTTTGGTATGCTCCAAGCTTCTCCAGCTGCGGTGATGCTGTACCTGAGTCTTCACCTTCGTAGAATCGTATCTGCGCCTCGATAACCACCAGTTAATAAACATCCTGTTGATCAGTCTGCTCGACCAACGACCGCGGCGACGACCATGACAAGGAACAGATCATGACATTTTGCAATATATTCTGTCAAGGTTTCCACGATGGTTAAAAGTACTAGTAGTAGTATGTGACATGAGGTCAAGACATGTCTGGGAGACATACCAATGGTCTGAACTTACCTGAAGTGCATCATACTGATAACGACCTTTCACACTCGCGGATTGGCTGCCGTGCGTTTCATGAACTTCGCAAGCCTGTGCACCATCAATTCGAAATCACCGTGATCAGCTCAGAGCTGTACTTGGTATTATCAACTAGGCTCGGGACCAGCCTGGCTTATATAACCACGGACAAGTCGAGTGGCGTAGCCAGGCTGGTCGATCTCGGAGAGATTTGGCAGGCGAAGCACGGAGTTTCAATTTAGCAGGTGCCGGTCGTGCCGGTCGAAGTAATAGTGCTACATAGTTACTGTCGACTATCAATCACTGAGAAACTTTCGTTCGCGCACTGCATAGAGTACCGCATCTTTCTCGCTTTTGCGCTGCATCACTAAAATTGAAATAGGATACTTCAAATGATACCATTTGCTCCATATTACACTCCCCCACTGCAGTATGCCCTGCCACCGGAATCTTTAGCATGGACAGTGGACCCTCGCAGCCTCAGCAAGGAGGAAAATATTATATCCTTGCTAAAAATACTCCGTAGCATGCGGATGACAGTCGTGGACCTCCTGTTACACATTGTGCTAGTTACTGACGAGGTTAGCACCGAGATGGAGAACCAATGTTGAACGTTGAAACTCATGGTCATAACATAGAGATGTAGCAAAACAGTATAGTGTCTGTACAATGACGACACCCGGCACAACCGGCACCTGCTAAAATTCGAACTCCGTGCTTCGCCTGCCAAATTTCTCCGAGATCGACCAGTCTGACTACACTACTTGCTGCCGAAAATCTATTATACAGTCCCAAAAATAGTAAGCTGTAGCGCATATTTCCACGACCTTAGTCACATAACTTTCGCACCACTTATTGGAGATAAATATATTATAGTCCTAGTGAAGAGAGAATGTGCCGGGCTTGAGAAATATACTAACTGTTACAGGGATCTGTAACACCTACTAGAGCCCCAGCTCTCCCTACGCCTGCCCCCGCTCTGCTAGACTCCCCGTGCGGCGGTGCGCCGCCTGCGCCTAGAAAGACAGCGGTCTGGACCGCTATGACCCCGCCCCCTGGCGCTATGACCTCGCCCCCTGGCGCTATGACCCCGCCCCTGGCCTAGACGGCCTTGTACTTGATCCATGGAGGCTGTACGCCTCATGGACACCCTAGATCAGCGCATGTATACCACATGTCGCTTCATGAAGATCCGGAGCGCGCTTGGCGCTTCCTGTACCTATGCGCAGCTGCCCTTGGCGCAGCATGCTTGATCAGAGGTTAAGCCTCATGTATGCTATCTGAACCTCATGTCTTGTTATCATAGATTTACGATATACTATTGATTACAGACTGAGCTAGAATACTTGTAGTACTTCCCTATAAGTAGACACAGATTATTGTACTTAGACTTTACTTTAATCTACTAGGTTCATCCCCAGAACTTGCTCATCTAAGCCTACCAGCTTCCTTGTGTGAGACCGCACTTCTAAGTCGCCCCCATACGACTTAGCACGTATCCGCTAGCCCTGCATCTCGACGAGCGCCATCTTACCGAGATCGCCGGAGGAATCCTTGATGTTCCGTCAAGGCCAGACCACGCTCAGCTTCAGTAGACTCACTCGAGTCGTCGCTGAGAAGACCTATCCTAGTTCGCACACGCCGACCAACAGTCGACGTAACACTAATGACCACTGAGACACATCACCAAGACACTCAAAATATATTAGTTACCCGAGCTTTAGTCTATATAGGAAATGACAAGTGCTGAATATATCTTATACCACATCTAGCACAGACATCTCGTTCGTACCTGTCACACAGGGTAGCTTTCATATGTTGTATATAGATATGCTCAATACCTTGATATGATTGAATTCTCAGATATAATATACTTAGATGACACCCACACACCATCCTCACACTGAAAGAGTGCACAATAAATGGAACGAGCCACACAAAATATTAGATTACTGGTAGATAGTAGGTACAGGCATGATTACTATGGTGTCAAGGCAGAGTATAAACGAGCGTTACGTGTGGCTCCAAAGGAGTTGGTTCTGAATGGTCAATTGCCACTGGGGGCGGTTGGTGGAGAGGAGCGTTGGGACTTTGGTATTTCCAGGAAAATCAGAAAGATCCTGCTGTAGGTACTGCACAAGGATGCTTTGTGATAATCAGCAACAAGGCACAACACCCGGTAACAAGAAACTTACTTGCTATATGCTTTCTCATATGCTAGACCCTTGTCTTCCATCGCTTGTTCCTTCGCAGCCTTGCGCGTGCCTGCGAGCGAGGAGTCTACAAAATTCCAAAACCTTCCCGCCATGTAGAGGTCTTTCTCTGTGACGACCGATCCGTCCACATTAATGTCCGCCGCGTCGTTCACATCAGCCTCGAAGTCTGCGTCGTCCTTATTGTGGTCCGCATCTGCATCAACGTTCTCATTCCCATCATGGCCATCGTCGCCATCAACATTCCTGGGGGCTGCATTTTCATGAGCGATATCATCTTGAAAGGCATCAGTGTCATTGTTGTCCTCTTCGGTGTCACTGTCGAGCATGTTGTGCTCTATCTCATCGATGTCGATGCCAAGCTGTGGTCCGATTTTTTGGCGGACTTCTTTCAGAAGAGAAGGTACAAGCAGGGGGGAGTAAAGAGTACGCAGAGGCACGGTTTTGTAGTTACCAGTGCTGAGTAAGTAGACACGCAAGCAGCGTCGCTAGTCTCAAGAGGTTACTATCTATATAATATTCGTTGTGATAAAAACATACCAAAAATGCGAGCCTGTTCCAATGAGCTGCGTCAACTTCAATACAACCATGGGCGAGGGATCTGGCCACGTCTGTGATACTGGTGCGTTTAGCAATAGATGCAGTCAACTGAAAAAATATTATTTCAGAAAAATTTGCGATTGTTATTAGCGCTACACACCTTAGATTTCATATTGCCACGGATTGTAGAGAGAGACTCGCTGATGACCTTAGCAAAAAGTGCGGTGAGTTCCACGTCTTCGAACAGCAATGCTGGAACTTTGAATACATCTTGGTGTTTCTTGATGAATTTCTGTCACGGTGTCAGTTTGCTTCAATTTCCATTCATAGCATCGGAAAGAATCTACCAAGATCTGCGGGTGTGTATCTGTCACGTATGCAGTGATATTGGGCGAAAGCATGCATGTGGTCAGACGGTTTTGAAGTGCAGACTCATTAAATGATAAGTCAGACTTGTGATGTGTGCAGACACGGCAAATAATACCTTGAAATCTTTAGAGCCCAGTAACTCTTTCAGATTGGCGAGCAATCTAAGTTTTTTGTCACCGTCGTTCTTGAGCACAAGGGCTACGATCCTGACAAGCATCTGGTATATGCCTCCACACTGAAGGAACATTAAATCATGTACATTTACAGCAAGTTAAAAAAAATACATACATCGATAAACTCGTGAAGACTGGTGATTGGAACACCAACTTCCTCCGCAATTTGATTTGCATAGACTTTAAGCCGTTTCGTGCTGCGGGGCGTAAGGGTAACAGGGCAACCCAGACTCACACCGGAATCCACCCTTTGGCGACACACACCGATAGTTATAGGTTCGTCGAGGGAGCCATCGGATGATGGTGTACATGGAATGCTGATGGGAGCTATGGCAGCAATCTGAGCTATCTCAGTTGAGGCCAATGGTGGATGGGCTGCTAGAGGTGAGCGTGCGCGACTGATATTACCACGCGGTTGTGAACCACATGCTGAAGGCGGTCGAGATCCTCTGCTGCTGGCTGACATGCTCCTGCCTCGGCCAAGCAGGGCATCACCAGGTGTGAGTAGACCATTTGCTGTCGTTTGCCTAGCTTGTGGTTTCCTGCGAGCACGCACAGGATGCTGTGAGATCATGATGTCGCAGACAGTGAGGGAGCAGGACAACCAGTGCTGCGAGTTGGTTCAAAAGTCTAAAACACACTTAATTGAGTTTAAATTAATTCAATTCAATTCACCCAACCGAGATTCGTCAATTCTCACACATCAAGACAAATCAGACAGGAGGGAGATGGGGTCCAAATTCATATTATAAGTACATATGATAATACTTTCTTGAGGCTGCAAAGCAAAGTCCCTCCATCTACAGGACAGGTTGGCACGACAGATACCAGAGAACCTTGATACCGCTGGGAGCAGCAAGTATTGCTTTTCCTCCACCTGGTGCTGTGGGTGAGAAGTGGATTAAGGCTTGTTGCGGTAGCGGAAGCAGGCACTGTCGCAGTTAGGTGAGAAGTGGATTAAGGTTTGTTGCGGTAGCGGAAGCAGGCACTGTCGCAGTTGGGTGAGAAGTGGATTAAGGCTTGTTGCGGTAGTGGAAGCAGGCATCGTCGCAGTCAGGTGAGAAGTGGATTAAGGCTTGTTGCGGTAGTGGAAGCAGGCACTGTTGCAGTTGCAGTATGCCACCACCACTAACTAATGTTGCGGGTGGGGGTGGGGGTGCGAATGGAATTGCAGGTGCTGTTGCTGCTGTTGATGTGGCTGTGGCTGTAGATGCGGCAGTTCGGGTTGATTTGGGTACATGTTATAGCCTGAGTGTAGTTAGATTTTTTATGCTATAATAACGGCGAAGAACTCACCGGTATATGACCTTTCTAAAACCTCATGACGTTGTTGTGAACCTCTGGAGTAAAGATACAGAGCTGGTGGCGGCGGACCATATAGCTGTGGTGGAGGAAGTTGTGAATGGTGAGGAGGGTAGTAGTACTGGGGAGGAGGGAATCCTGGTGGCGGCGCAAAGTAGGCTTGATTTTGGTGATCTCCGATATGAATCGTTGAGTCTTGCTGAGCAGGCGGAAGCTGGCTAGAGGGTCCGGCAGTTGCTTGACCAGTCTTCAATGTTGCTGCCTTCCTTCATGTGCCGGAAGTGGTTGCCTTTGCCTTTGATTTTGCAGCAGTCCTTGACTTGGGAGGGGCCCGATCGAAGGAGGGAACTGCCACCAGAGGGATCTGGGTATCATGTTCCATATTAGCATCTAGTTGAGGTACGTCATCAGATTTCTTCAAAGTCTTCTTCTGCTTCATTTGTCGTACGGCCATTTCCCGAACCTCTGCGACATTCGTAACCTTCAGCGGTGATTCACGAAGCGTCTCAGGAATTACAGAATTGATGTGATCGTAGTTATGAATAGAGTAGGCATTGATGAAGTAGTGTGGTGTTGACTTGTGCTGAATGATAGGTTTTGTACGAGAAGTTTCGAGCCGTTCTTGGCGCACAGGTTCCTCGATGGTGTCTGTACACTGTGAATCAACACAGTTGTGCTGGAGATTAATGACACATATGATATCCTATAGCCTCGCAAGGGTCAGAAATAGCGCACACGATCAATGGGATATCAAATTTACCACCACCGGTGTGACAACCTCGTCATCAATCAGGTTCAGACAGGGTAGATGGACAGAAGCGTGTAAAGTGTTTGCGAATGAAAAGAGCTGGAGTCCAACATGAACAATGGTGTTCAGATTCTCGGATGATACAAGGATCTCGCGAACACATCCGATGCATGTCTAACAATTAATCAAGAACCATACAGTGAGGAATTCACTCACCTGACCATCAGTCGTTCAGTGGAAAATAACATGACTATTCAGATATGCGATATCCCCTTCCCTCGCTACGACTGATTTGCCTTGATAGTAAGCGATGTCAGGCTGGGCAGTTTTCAGGATCTTCGAGCAATGAGTTTCTTTCCAGGCTACTATATCATTTCTTGCCGTTTTTCCATTGGCACCAAGAGAAGTCTGAACTTTCCCGGAACCTGTGTGAAAAGAATCAGTAGCGATAGAGTGAAATAATAAGCTAGGACTACCAGGTACTGGAGTATTACGATTGAAGACCGATAATCCGAGCAATCGTGCTTGCTCTGGGTGTTCATCGAGATACCCTAGAACTTGCGCTCCTCCCCGGACCCATTTTGAGGCTTTGTTATCGTACCAATACCCACCCATGACAATGTGCTTGACGATATCTTGATGAGCGAATGTTCGGCAGGAGTCGCGGCTTGGTGCTTGGCGATTACTGTATACACACGACAAACGAAATACATGGTTGAAGGACTCGTATCGTTCGGTCGAAAATATCACTGCTGGTCCGAAACATTGAATATACGCCGGGAGATGAACTAAGAAATGAAATTTGGGCTTGCTTATAATGATGCTAGGCGCTGACCTGCACCAAACCGGTTCGGTGCATGGATGACTAATGCTCTCTCACGAGCCCGATACCCTAGAAATCATTATGAACAATCTTCCTTTACTTTATGGTTCAGACTGCAGTTCAGATAGTATTTTCATTTCTCAGACAGACTCAGATAGGCTGAATATTCTTGTATATTTAATTTTGCGGTAAATTCTGCTTAGTCAGCAATAACAATGGCTCAGACTGAATCCCACACATGTCAAGTAACAGTGTAAAATAGTTCTTGCATAATTTGCCTTGTGGGAACTTTCTTAACACTCTAAATACATGGCTCGTGTCATTTCTACGGTCAATAAAGTAACATCATAACAAGACACCAACAAATAACATAATCAGTCTGTTACTTAATATTTGTCACACGATACTAAGTTATATGACTCTAACAGTCAGGTGACCTATGACCCTAAACCAAATCATGACAAAGCAACCTTTTGAGATGACTAAAGCTTGATGACACAAATTATAAAGCACATGACTACGGTAAATAGTATTGGTACAATCTGACTAAGCCTATTCCCCTTAGAACGTGGGAAATAGTAACACAGCCACCATAATTTATCTATATAAGACCCCACTTTTTGCCAATAAAAAGAGGCATATAGGGAACTTTTAAGCCCCACAAAATAAATTTGAGTGTGAAGTGTGATCAGTATCAACAACAGTGACAAGAGCTGTTAAGCAACTAACTGAGAGGTCATTGTAAGCAACATCCAGCAATACCTTTAGCTCATCGTCAACAACTGTGAAATATCTTGAGCTCACTGTGCTCAACAGTGAGCAAACTTTTTCTTTGATTTTCTACTGGTGAACCTCTAGTCTCTTTCTTTTTTTTTTCTTTTCTTTTCTTTCTTCTTTCTCTCTTTCTTTTTCTTTTTCTGTTTCTTTGTTTGTTTGTTTCTTTTCATTTGTCTCTTTTTCTGTTCAGTTCGTTCACGTCTCAGTGTTATTGTCTGAATTTGTTTCAAGATCTTTGTGTTGTCTTTACGTCCATCTAAGCACCGGCTTAGTGGGAAGACTTCAGAAGTTGATAGTGACGCTTGACCTCACTCATCTGAGTAGTGATACTGAGCCAGGGTTTTCTTTGTCTGCTAGACTTTAGTTGTTGAATAGGGGACTTGGTACTGAAATCCAAGGACGTCCGTTCCTGATTCTGTTTAATACTCATCGTGAGTTCCTTGGCAGCAGGTTCAATAGTGAACTAAGAGTTCTACTGATCACTGATTAGTCCTGACCTTTGATTCTACCTGTTTGTGCTGAGGGGGTGATTGCTATAATTTTGCACGACTTTCTGTAGTAAATTTATTACAAGAAGCATTGTTACTGAAGGAAGGGTTTCTCTTATCAATCTATTTCTTTTTTTTATCAGTGCCATACTGTTGGGCTGACTTTTCTCTGTTCTCTAAACACTGCCATACCGTTGGAGTGAATCAATTTCTTTTTGTCATCACCATACCGTTGGGCTGACTACATTCTGTTTATTTTATTTTCTATTGTGTCCATACTGTTGGATTGACTGGTATTGCTACTGACCTCACAGGAAGTACTTTTGTCTGAACATAGCTTGGGGAAGTGTAAACAGCCACCCACGAACAACCACGTTATCAGTCATTGGTATTTGTCTGAATCACTGACCGTGGAGATTTTTGATTTTGTAGGTGTTTATCTATAGATCATCTATCTAAGAAGACAGCGCGCACTGTGCTGTAACATTAAGAAAATCTTGAATTGTTCGAGACAGCTTTGCCTAGAAAAGAATGAACTAAAGTTATCGCATATTTCTGCATAAACCTACAAGATAAGCTTCCGTATCCACAATCTTCGTGTGCCAGACGAGTACGACAAGCTCTCCTATCACGGTCCATGCATTGAGAACAATTGAAGGGACGAGATCATAAATCAAAAACGGCATCACTTGTGCCAAGCTTTTGAAATGTTTCCCTATGAGACTGCCTTTGTAATGACAGACGTAGTCTGCATTCAAGCATGGAGCGTTGAGTCCATCCTTATCAACAGACTCAAGACAGACCTGAAAGATGCCCATGAGCTTTGCCTTGTCGAGCAAAAACACGGTTTGCCCTCAAAAATACTTGACGATACCGAGCAGTATTGTGTGCAGAATTTCCGTTGGAGTGTCCATGTGTATATCGAGGCCTGCTAAGAGCGTGAACAAGAGTTCAAAATCACTAGAGTACTCAACTAACCTTCCATTCCCAACAATGGGTTAATAGCGTCATCGAGCTTGTGACCTTGCAAAAGTTCTACGAACTCTTTCTCCAGGACAGCTGTAACTTCGGCTTCTGGCATTGCTTGGGTACCAGCGGCACGCTTTCGAAGTTTCTTTCCAAGCTCTACTAACGCATTGAGGATCGAACTAGAAGTGGAATCACGAATACCAGTCGATGATACCGAATTCTTGATCTTCTCCGACGCTCCTGACTTCAACACGATCTCAAACTGTTTTCGGACTTCTGCCATTGTATTTTCAGGTGTTCGTAGGTTGCCTGACTGTAAGCACAATATTAGCTATTAGAATGTAGTTCAAATATATTCCTACCGTGAAAAGACTGCTGTACCCATCACCAGACGCCTTATATTCTTTCGTCCCACCAGTATCGCAAGTCCTGCAATAGTAATTGCAGTTTAAGCCGGCGTGGCTACATTCTTCTGCTTGCATGGGGTTGTCTCCAGCGAGGAAGAGCGCGTATGGAATCAACAAAACCTCTTTGTTATACTTGCAATCACAGGCAATTATACCTGATTCGGCAGCGTTACTGCAGATTGAGTCAGAACTTCGACTTCAGCAGATAAAGGAAACAACATACCATATAGACTCTTTCATGACCCTCATAAGCTCCATGGGAGCAGCATGCGGTGACGATGTGACAAATCGTACGAAAAATTCTTTTTCGAGCATCTCGCGCGGTAGGTTGGCATTTGACATATAGATTGCGTGGTGCTTGTTCCATTGTTTGGAGACATTGCCAGAAACATTGTCCATAAAAATGATGAGAGGAACCGTATGAACCATCCGGCCATTAGACTTAGCATGCAGTGGATTCGGAGATAGTGATGCATATTTTCCTGACGAAGCTGTTGTTTTGTGAGTAGCGAGTCACTGGTGTGATGAATGTAAATCAACACACGTGTAAGGCCACAGTCGAGCTCGCCTGGAGTTGCAGCAATCTCTTCAAACGATCGCACAAACATGGACGTTGAGATGATCTCGCGTTGCTCATTAACGATGAATCCAGCCTAATATAGTGAGGACTTTGTATATCCAGATACCTTCGCAACAAGGAGATGTACCTCCATTCGTTCAACCACCCGACCAAGCGCATATAAGGCCTTGCCATCTGACTGCTCGCATGGGTCAGAGACATCGTCACTCAAATCTACAGGTAGCGAGGCATGAAAAAAGCGCTCTGGTATAAAATACCCTCCAGAATCATCCTGTAATAGTTCACCTGTGAAATAGATCATTCCGTCCACACGAGCCGCGGGTGGTGAGGGCAGGTCAAGCAACATCTTCTTGCCGTTGAACACTTGCGACATCCCCTCCCTGCCATCTTCCAGATAATCTTCCATCGCAAAACGAGTGAGGGGATTTGCATAGTCCTAAATCATGGCGTCATAGTTACTGTTGCGTACAAACACACCGAACATACCTTCGCAATTGATTTCGCAACATCATTAATATAGAATACACTCCCAGAGCGAGCTGTCACCTTCCCGTTAAACCGCCAACAATGTTATCCAGATACATATGGGATTTTTTGATGGCGCCAAGTGAAGGGACATCTCGAGCGCCGAGCTCTTGCGCCCAACTGAGAATGGCCCTCTTCTGGGCATCAGAAAATGGGAGACGCGGAGAGCTGAAAAGGAGTGAGGTCACGAAATGCTTAATGTAGATTTAAGTACAATGATATTGCTAACACAAAGAGAGACAAACCGCTTTTGACGGCCAAGGATATGTTGGACTATCCAGTGGGACAGTGTCCTTGATGTTCGTTCTTTCGTAGATATCATCTAGTAGTGTAATGTAGGCTTGCCAAACTAATCATAATGTCACTCACCAGGAAGCTCTATCCCGAAATCAGCGCTGTCATCAGAAAGTTCTTGCTCGTTGTTGATTGGGGCAAGTGGCATTGAGAACAGTACTTCACCCGAAGTAATAATTGCCTTGAGTTCTGCAAACAAGTCCAAAGGTCCCTTGTCAAATCCGAACGTCCAGTCACCAATTTCGTGCAAAAGCTCAGATAATCCAGGTTCAGATTCGGAGGGCCCATTATCTTCCACTGACACAGGCACCATAGATGATGGCGCGTCATAGAAATTCATGTCCATCGGAGAGTCAGTATTCATATCGAAGGGGTCATTGGTGTCAACATCATTAGTATGGGCAGCGGCCTGAACGACTTTTCGGCGCTGCTTGGAACATTTTATTTGAGTGTGACGGACATGGACTCCTTGTATGATGTGTTTGGATATATGTTGAAACTCCATCAAACGATACTTGCCATGCTTGAGAGGGCAGACCGTGCATTGGATGCGCTTTCGGGTGTTATCGGAATATCGAAGGACTGCAGTATCAATTCATTAAAACATTCATACTACGAGACGAAAGACGCACCAATACCATCAACCAAGTCTGCATTATTTAGTGTCATGCCGAACTGAAGTCTGGACTTGGCGACTTGATCAGCGTCGAAAGTCGCTGATGATCACATGAGCTTTTGTCTTTGAAATCAACAAGTCCGAAGTCCCACGGCGTGATGTCTCCAATCACAACTTGATCTTCATCAACTCTGCACAATGAGCAACAAAGTCACCCATTTTTTGACCGTTATCAATCCAGAAAGTCGGTCAGATAGTTCTGACGGTGCACCGTTGCAGCGCATCCTCCTTATGGTGTGTTTTTCGGGCCGGCTCCCAAAGCAGACAGTTTGACGGAAAAATATTGTGAGTACTTGTTGTCGCTATAAACATGCTTGCTCTTTATTATGCATGATAGCCTGTCCACATTTCGGTCTCTGTTGCCGAAGAATATGGACCGTTTACCTCCCCAGTTATGGAGGCCATATCAGTAGATCTTTGCTCTACTTGTTCGAATTCACCATTAATGGATGATGTGAGTTCTAAATTCTGCACTGAATATTTGTAGATCTTACCTCGTGCAGTCAACTCCCAGTCAAGCCAACAACGATCTTTCCTCCCAAGCGGATGACATTATTCCATTCCTCCCACTCCGACGAACCTTCAACTATATTAATCCGATGGAATGGGCCACACTATCGAAGGAGATCGAAGAATGGTTGGTGAACGATGTAGACACTAGGTCTCAATTATGGACATGGGGATGCAATGCTTTCTGGCTCACGTTCGTCGCAGCATACCCTTTATTTCCCAGAGGCAAATGGCCAATGTGGGACCCTCACATTCCTGTGGAGGGGACATTTATTCAGGAGTGGTTGGGACGGTCGAATGATATTGATGCCATGAAACTTGAGGGCGAACATTCTCTCGTGGCCCTACTCAATGACATATGGGCCGAATTCAACAGACATACTGCGCTCTTTCACCCCTTGCCTCTTCTTGCTGTCGACTAACCTATGACACTTTTGTTTGTGCGCCGATATGTATTTGTTAATTAGATTTTAGTCTGCATCATATGTATACTACCTACTGTGCCAATGGTACCATTAACGCCCAAGATTGTGATTTAGATCGTCCGTTTGTCGGTGCTTTCGTGGATGCAGCGGTTGTAGCGTATAATATGCACACAGATGTGAGACAGGCCACTCAGATATTAGCACTAGCTGGGTCACAGGTCTATCACAGGGTCTAATTTTCGACTGTTCTATATGACTGACCTCGATGCGTCCAATATATGCACCGCAAAGGGTGTATACTAGCCCTGATTTGGACGAATTTCCAGCTGTAACCAAGTCATCATCCAGGATTGGGATAAAACCTTTCATAGATACCGCATATGTACCCTGTGCAGGTTAAATTTATTACTTATGTGGCAAGGCTCCAATCGAACTAGTACCTAGCATGTTGCTATGTGTGTTATATAACTTTCGCACTACCTCGGTTCGGGCCAAAGCGGCGCTTAGCGGTGTACGTCAAAAATTCCCCACTCTCATGTGACGTACGTCAGACTGGTCACGAGTCTAATTATCAACACAAATTACACAATGCCCAATACCCTATGGCGTGGGAAACATCCCAATAAGAAAGTGTCGGATATCAATGTCATGCACTGTGGGAAGTAAAAACGCTGAAAATCAGTGTATAGAATACTGAAAGTCAGCGTCCAAAACACTGACTTTCAGAGTTTCTGTATTATGACCACAGTCCATGCTCGAACAAGAAGATAGGTTGCGCGAGAATTCAGTACCTGGAACCCTGAAAGTGACATTTTTCAGTGTCGAAGACACTGAGATTGGATTGACGGCACACTGAATAGCACTGAGTAAAACACTGACATTGTGATGTTCGTGGTACTGAAAATAACGACTCGAGACGCTGAAAATCATGCAAGATCTCACTGTAAATTCACCATTTGTGACGCTGAATCTTCATGAGTATCATTACAATATACACTGGATGAGTGCGAGAACAAGACATATACATTATGAATAAAAATTGACATAACAATAACAAGTCTGTGCGTGAAATTCCGAAAGGCGTGCGAGGAGTCCAAGTTGACAGTGTTCGTGAGGTGAGTCCAACAATCGAGTCCACAACGAAGAGTCCAGTGCGAGATGAAGTCAGGTGTGCTTGAAAAAAGAGGTTAGTGGTGCCGGGTGCGTTTTCTTTTGAAGGTGGGACCCTGTAGTAGAATCGACCGGCAAGGTGAGCATACTCAGCCAGCATTGGAAGAAATACGCACTGGAATAGGCTCTTCCTCAATGGGCATGACCGCTGCCTTGGTTTTGCTGCGTGTCCGTTTTCGAGCAGGGGACTGAGACATGAGTGGAGATGACAGGGTAATCAAATATACATGAGCATAAAAGCACTCACTGGCGGTAGTGGAGTCAGTTGAGAGAGTGCACTGTCTGGTGGACGGGAGGCCGTAGTTGAGCAGTCAGAAGAGGACTGCATGGTATTGGGGTGTTGAGATGGTCCAGGTTGTGGAAGTGTAGCCTGTTCATTGTGATGGATAGACGGTCAGTGAATGTCTGAAAATACAAATGAAAGCACCTCTATGAGCTGAAGTGTTGCCCGGCGCAACCTTGGCGGACCACCTTTACTAGACTGGTTGTCATGAATAGCGACTCTGGTGTTGGACTTTGAGCGCTGGATGTTGGTCCTGTAGATCTGGTCTAGTTCCTCGTCCGAGTCAAGAGCAGGATGCAAGTCGATTCCAGCTGATCTACTATCCAGCCGAATGGTGTGAGCTTCTGCGATGGTGATGCCGAACCTGTGTGCAATTGCACTGGTAGCGACGTATGGGACAAGAATAAAGTCTGTGAACTTTTTGACGTCGAGTGGGCGAATGGCGTTGAGTGGGAGAGTTGATGTCCGAAACATTCCTTCAAGCGCATGAGCAATGATGTGCTCTCCTTTTGGACCATAGCTGCAAGAATGAAAGTTATCAGCAATTGTCAAAAGCCAAGTACGACACTCACAAGCCGGCTGTTGAAAAAATGTAGATTGAAGAAGAGACACCTTTCCTGTCCCTTGTGAACGCATGAAGACACGCCTCCTCGGTATTTTCTTTGTAATACTGGGAAAGACAGTCGAGAAATGACTTCCAGACGATATGTTCAGCTCGAACACCTCGATCTGAAATGAGTGCAGCGATGTCAGCTTCCAATGACCATGTAAAATCATTTAGTGCAACAAAATCAGGTGATACCGGCCAACCACGCAGAGTGATATCTCGACGTCGCTGCGCCAGACGGTTCTCAGATTTGATGGCAGAACAAATGTAGAGCGTAGTACGAAGGACGTTGCGAGTGTCATCACCATCCCGCTGAATGAAGGCAGCGCGGTCATGGAACAACTTGACAAGCTCGGCTGACAGGACAGTAGGGACATGGTCTTCACAATCGTCATCTGGGCAGAACTTTGGGATGTCTTTGCTGTGCTGGGATCCAGAATGTGGTGCTGGTGTGTCTTCATGGACATCACGACATGCTGGCTCGGATGAGGTCTTTGCTTTGGGTTTGATAGGCCGGGGGCGTGGCTAGGGGCAGGTTACATACTATTTGAGATTAAAAAATGCACGAACGGGCATACCTTTGGAGGAATCTTCGACACTGTCTTCGATGATGATGTCGAAGGAGCCTGGACTTGTGGCTGACCAACACCAGATCATGGAGGTAAGTTACACATGGGTTTGTCGAGGTCACTTACTGGTGTTGTTGCCATGGCAGTCTCACCGCTACTACGAGGCTGTGGAGCCATGGTCTTGGCCTTCTTACTGGTTCTTGTGACTTTGGATGTACCGCTAATACGAGTCTTGGCTGCTGTCGTGGGCCTTTTGTTTACCTGAGGGTCAGTGTGAGGTGCTTGGAGTGCCTCCTTTGCCCGTTTGGCTTCTGAAGGGCCGTAAGTGCAGCCAAGCAACATAATATGAGTGCAGCTCACTCAAAAAATCCTCGACTCGTTTCTTGAAGAGCTCTGCAATATCAGCAGGCAGACCTCCCTCACTTCCTGGCCCAATCTCCTCGGAGTCCAATTCTTCATCTGATCCAGGGTCCGTCTCGCTACTATCATCTGAGTCAGAGTGAGCTGCAGGAGCTGGCAACTTCGCACGGCCGGTGGATGTATGCGTCCGAGTCGACTTGTTATGGCTTGAGAGTGTGATCTATATAAAATGAACAGTCAATGGTCAAATGACAGGCCATTGTTACATACCTTGTTTGAGCTGGGCGCGTCATAACCCATCCTTCTCCTATAGTTGGCGTGATTTCGTAAGAATTGTTGCAAAAAATCTTTGACGGGCCAGCCGTCCTTAAAGTGTGTGAGGTATGGGATTTCGAGCATGGCCTATTAGTATCATTAGCGCATATATGCATGTAGGAGGACAAAAAATATGTACCAATGTGATTATGGTGCCTAGTAGCATTGGCGGCTGGTATCTAATGGTGGTCTCGAGGCGTAGACCATTGTCCTTGGCGATTTCGATGATCTTGTACTTCAGAATGTCTGTGAGAATCCACACAGATAGAAAAAAAATGCTTACTCGAATTTTCTTATACACGGTATCCCTATCATCCAGATTCATAGCGTGCTGTAAATTGAAATGTCGTCCGGCAGTGCCATCAGGACGCATAATTGCACCCTTCTTCTGACACGCCTTGAGTTTCTTGCGGGCCTCTTTCTCACCTAGATTTTTCGCAGTTAGGACATTTGACTAGTGCTAACATAGGACTTACGCATCACATGTTGTACCTCCCGCTCATTGGCATCAACTTGCCTCTGTAGTGCTCGGAATTTCTTCTTGGTTCCTAGAGAAGGCTTGTTAATAGTCCGTGTGCGAGGCATGGTTAGTGGTAAGTGGTAGGGGTTATTTACGTGTTGTTTGCATCAACCGAAGCCAATGTTTGGTTGTGTTAATGGTCACGTGATCATTACAACCGAAATTTTCACCAAGACTGGTTGAATTCTAAGTATGTACACACGTACGAATACGACTTGTTCAGCTCCAAACTGGAGGCGATACATACAGTGCGGCTTGGAAGCTGGCACGGACGCCAATGGTTCGGGTGTAGCAAGTTGTACTAGTACTGTGAGATGTACAAGTTCTCCGACTTGCCCCCCCAAACTCGCTTTGCGCAGGTGCGAACTCCTAACCCTAACCCTAAGCTTGCTCAATGGCTGCAGCCCGTGGAAGGGAGTTCCTCCTCACCCTCCTCAGTGAACTCTCCTTACTCGTCTTACAAGAGTTCGGTTGCCAAATCCGCCTATTCATTCATGGTGGTGCAGTGACCCTATGCTGGCCCATGGGCTACAACACCTACAAACCCCAGCAAGCGCAGGAACTACGAAACCGTATCCACGACGCAGTGCACCATCTGCAAAAGTTATCTGACACTTTGCCAGAGGAGTCATCCCACATGGCGCTGAGCCAATCAGCCGCGCAGTCGCCTCCTGTGGCATCAACCACACGCTCTCCTGCTGCACTCTGCTCGTTGCATACGATGTCAAGCATCTTAGCCCCACACTCGTTTTCACAGCTGGCGTCGGCGTCCTCGTTGCATTCTCTTTACATGTCGTCCCTATTCCTCCTTCGTCGGCGTCCTTGTATATTGCGTACGTGCACGCTACTTTGGATAATTGCGGCGCTAAATTTACTCGTAGTTCTTTGCGACTTCGAAAGATGTTTCTATCGGACCAGTGGCAGTTATGTCGCAAACCGTGGCTCAAATCATCATTGCTGTAGACGCACAGTACCCTGGTAAATGGGCTAGCCCACTGATAGCCACCACGTTGGCCTTTGTTTGTGGATTTATCGTACTCGGGATTGGCCTCTTGCGCATCGGTTGGATTGTCGAGTTCATACCCGTACCAGCAGTCAGCGGGTATATGACTGGATCTGCGATAAATATAGTTGCAGGTCAGGTTCCCGCCCTCTTGGGCATTACCGGGTTCAGGCAAGGGTGTCAGTCATTTCGAACGAAACGCAATTTATGACATTTCATAGTACTCGAGCTGCCACGTACGAAGTTATCATCAATACTCTCAAGGGACTTCCCGGTACGAAAGTGCGCCTGTCATCGATAGCGAGCTCGTCAAAGCTCTCGGGCCACAGATCCCTGTCGCCACCATAATTCTCCTTCTTGAGCACATCGCCATTGCCAGATGTAAGTCACCAATCATCTGACCGTTATGCCCTTTTGACACACTACTTGCAGCATTTGGACGGGTCAATGGATACAAGATCAATCCCAACCAGGAGCTCATCGCCATAGGCGTGACGAACACGCTCGGCACTATATTCCATGCGTATCCCGCTACAGGATCGTTCTCCCGTTCTGCCTTGAAGTTGAAGTCGGGCGTGCGGACTCCTCTGGCTGGTATCTTCACTGCGATGGTTGTCATCGTTGCTCTCTATGGCCTTACCCCAGCCTTTTACTGGATCCCTAGCGCTGGTCTTTCGGCCGTCATCATCCACGCGGTCGCTGATCTTGTCGCGTCACCTTCCCAAGCATTCTCTTACTGGCGCGTATCCCCCCTCGAGTTTCTTATTTGGTTGGCTGCAGTCCTGGTCACCGTCTTTTCGTCTATTGAGAACGGCATCTACATCTCCATCTCGGCATCGTTTGCCTTACTTCTGGTTCGCGTCGCACACCCTAGGGGATATTTCCTTGGGAAGGTTACCCTGACACGCAACTCAACTGAATCACGAGAAGTCTTTGTTCCGTTGCGCAAGGATGGCGTAACCAACCAATATGTCAAGGTATAAATCGATAGATATCACGCACCCAGCCGCAGGCGAGCACAACGGCATGCTCATCCTCGCGCACGTCAAGTACTTCCATGTACCTTCCTGCGTTCGGAGGAGGCATTCGGCCGCGTTTTGACTCCAGTGCAACGATGAGTATCCAGTCGATCCCGAGCCATCAACCAGTGAGCCTTCTCAGCATTCATTCGGTTCTGCGCCTGATGGTGTGCTCGTATTATCCTTTCTTACTTACTTGAAATTGACACTTCACGCGACATGCGTTGTATGAACATCCAGAATAGAAATTGTTTACCTAAAATGTGATGCTAGAACAACGATAGGACGCCATTCCTGGATGTACAATGGTTTCATCACTGATCACACTTTCACCACTTCCTCACCACGATTACTTGCTTGAACATTACTTGATACTGTCATTTATTTTCCACAATGTCCAACAAAAAAAGAAAGTATTGCCATTGCTCTCTTGAATGCAGACGCCTTCTCAGTTATCGCCAGCGACTCCGTCACTACAAAAAAGCAAAACTTATCAATCTATCACCTTCCGTTTCCCCCACGGAATCATCGGAAGATCCACAGACAATAAATCTAGAGCCTGAGATTCACGCATCCAATGCACCTGGTGATGTGAGCATGAGCGAGCATGATGAAGACTCAAGCCCAAACTATTCAGATCAGGAGTCTGATGAAGATGCTGCGAGTAATCTGAGTCACGCAGACGAAATTGTTCCATATGATGAAGAAGAAGAAAATGATGGTGTAGACGAGTTAGATGTGAGAGGTGGCCATATAGATGCTGAGATTGAGGCACTGCATCATTCACTTCGTAAGTTTAATCGCTACTGGAAAGTATTTACTAGTAACAAATGAGATTAAATATAGGCAATACCTTGTTGACAGAGCAGGATAGAGATAACCTCCGTGCTCACAGTCTCCGCATCAAGAGTCATATGCCGCGTGCGACATTCAATGAACTGCGGGAGAAGTTTAGTCACAAGATGGACATCGACTCCGAATATAAGATGCTCAAGCGTTTCGAAGGACTCACTACTATCACGCCCATGAAAATAGATTGCTGCATCAATTCCTGCATTGCATATGCTGCAAGATACAGTCACAGTGATTTATGTGACTTCTGCGGAGAAAGACGTTTTGATGTTCAAGGGAAGCCTAGACGTCAATTTTCCTACATGCCGCTGGTCCCTCAATTGCAGGGTCTGTTTGCCCGAGAAGATACAGTGGAAAAACTCTTATACCGCCATCAATATGACAGCAGCCCCCATACCATCAATGATGTCTTTGATGGTGAGATCTATCAGTCTCTCCGGGACAAGTTCGTGCTGGTGGATGGCGTTCAGAAAAACTATAAGTACTTCTCTGGAAAAAATGACATCGCATTTTCCTTAGCAACTGATGGATATCTACTGTTTGGACGATATCGCAAGGGGCCTTCTGCGACACCAATCCTTATCCAGATCTACAACTTTCCCCCCACTATACGCACCCACCACGAACATCTGATTTGCCTTGGAGTCATTCCAGGACCAAAATCTCCAAAAGATATTGCATCCTTCCTCGTCCCATTTGAGAACGAGTGTGCCAAACTCGCCAATGGCGCACTCACCTTTGATAGCCTTGGGAAGCAAATGTTCTGGCTCCATGCCTACAACATTTTCAAGCTTGGTGATATCCTTGCGATAGAAAAACTACTGGAAATCCGTGGCCATAATGGCTTTGCACCATGTCGGTCATGTCTGATCACTGGTGTTCGAAATAAGTCTGCAAATAAGACTAATTACTATGTCCCATTAACTCCCCCTACTCAACCTAATACTCCGAACCTACACTGGGACCCCCTTCAGCTCCCCCTTCGCAGCCATGCTCATTTCGAAGAGGTACTGCAAGAGATGGACGATGCAGACACTGCTGCGGAGAAGGAGAGGATTGGCAAGAAAAATGGTCTCCGTGCAGGCCACCTTCACCTTTCTGACAGGCGGCGAGTAGGGTCAATTGACTTTGCCAAGTCCTTTCCTTGGGAATGGATGCACGTCTTCCTTGAGAATATTGTCCCAATGCTTGTCAAGCACTGGACTGGAAAATTCAAGGGTATGGACGCTGGAAAAGAAGATTATGAGATAGTTGATCATATATGGACTGAAATCGGAGCAGAAACTGCTGCTGCAATCGCAAACATTCCTGCTACATTTGTTCGAGTCCTCAGCAATATCGCGGATGATCACTCAAACTTCACAGCAGAATCATGGTCATTCTGGATCATTTACCTTGCCCCAACACTCCTGCGTAATCGTTTTCCGAACACAAAATACCACAAGCACCTTTGCGAGTTAGTTTGGATCATGAAAAAAACACTACAGTTCTCAATCACGCATGCGGAGATCGATGAATTGGAACAGCGAATTGCAAGCTGGGTAGTCAAGTATGAAAAGTAAGCAGTCTATTGCAGGACGTGGTAGAACATGGCTGATATCATTATAAGGTACTACTATCAGCATGACGAGTCAAGATTACCAGCCTGCACTCTTCCAATTCACGGAATGCTTCATATTGCTGATGACATTCGTCGATGCGGACCTGTGTGGACCACATGGTCATTTTTCCTGGAGCGCTATTGTCAAAAATTCAAAATAGCACTAAAGTCAAGAGTTCAGCCTTGGGGAAACCTTAACAAAGAAGTTCTATATACGACGTACCTTCAGCAAGTGGTCCTTCGGTATGACGTCCAGGAGGAAGTGTCACTAAGTATTCGGAGGGATTGGTCCCAGCTAACAACGCATGAGACTGTTTTCGAAGATTGTAAGTCACCATCCAATGACTCGAGATAACAACATAAACAGTCCTACCAGATGATGCTTATGTTCTTTGTCCCCCTCGAGTGACTTCATATGAACCTGACCGTGATGAGCGGGTTAAAGTTGCATTGTATTTCAAGCAACTCATTGGCGGAAGGCGAGCGGTGATTGTTGCACGTCTTCCAGCTGTGATGGCACTCTGGAAAAAAGTTCGTATCCAAAATGGCGGAGACAGTATTCGGACGCACAGTGCCACCAGGTCATCCAAAAAGCAAAGGAACTCGTCATACGTTCGAGTGAGTCTACTATATCACACATTAGTTCCAAACTTGACAAGGTTACTTAGTACGAACTTGAATATGAAGACCGTGTAAATGGAGCTCTTCACGTGGTTCAGTTGGTGCAATATGGTCGTCTCGAGAAAATACTGGTTTGCTCGTTGTCAAACGACACTCAGTGGCTAGGGCTTGCTGGCAAAACTCTTCTGCTCGCGCTCATTCGACCATGTCAGACCGAGGGTAGAGATGCTACCAAGGAGGAAGCGCGTTATTCAAGGAACCTTGCCAGCATCATCACCGACCTACGGAATGTAAAAGGAGTTGTAGGGAGGGTCAAGAGTCGCGGGGAATGGACTATCATTGACCGCAGAAGCAGTTTTGCGAAACCAGCCTTTGATGGTGCTGGGTATAATACAGATGAAAGTGAGGCGGAGTAAATGTTGATATATATACATACGAGGAGCTGGAACGTGTACAGTGTATTTAATTGCCGCTTGTCCTGAAAACAGAAGCCTACTTCTTGACAATAGAAACGGCAAACATATGGAGACTGCAGGTCGTGTGCCGAAATGCAGGGAACTGAGCAAACGACATCAACGAATAAGTGATAATCACCGGAAGTGCGGGCAACTCACGCGTCCTCATTATAGTCATTCCCATGAGCATAGTCGTCGCCGTTCTTAGAGGTTGCGATATGGTCTTCTGGCTCTTCTTGGACAGGCAGCGACTTGTCGGGAGTTCGGGTCTTCATGGCCTGCAGGGGAGGTGTATTGCTTGCAAATTTGCTGACCGCAGGCGGCGTGACACGAGCATCGTCGGTGACAATGGCTTTCCGCACAGTGGGCGGCGGACTGGGAACCCTAAGGGAGGAGCTTCCATTAGATTGATATGAGTCCCGCTTATACGAAACGTAGTCCACGTCCACTGCAGTCACACTCTCACCGCCTGACGAGCCAGTAGGCGTGTGGTAAGGGGGAGAATGAGAGGGCTGATTGAGTGGAGATAGGAGTTTCGTCACGTTTAGTGCTGCCGTGGTCCGGTTCGGTCCGGTTCAGAGGGCCCTGGACGAGAACCGAGAACTGGACCATGGTCCGGTTCTACAAAATTGTCGAACCCAGAACCGGACCATCAAGAACAGTTCTTAACAGTCCGGTTCGGTTTTTTTGCGGTCCGAACGTGAACCGAACCGCAAATTTTTCAAGCAGCAAGGAAAAACATTCACAATACATCTACATGACATTGGGTAGCTAGGCTAATGACACACCAGCTGCGTACTCTTCTGCCTCTACTGCCACTGACACATGACCATTCTTATAGGCTGCCTTCATTAATTGTAGCGCGGAGAATGTGGATGGTGCGAGGGCGTTGCGGCGCAGAGTCGATGTGATCCCCGCACTGGAGAAAGCGCGTTCCGATGGGACTGCACTGCCTTGAATGGGCAGGTAATCACGCGCAACACGAGCTAGCGTTGGATATTGCATTGAATGTAACTGATCAAGGATGTAAGCGGGGAACAATGAATTTGAGGGCTGACTTACACCCCACCACGCGACAACGTCATCCGTCTCCTCCAATGGTGAAGTAAGGTATGCGGAGAGCTCTTGATGAGGATCGCGCGTGCGATGGTCTGTAGCTTGACGTTCCATGATAGCGTCGCGCATCCAGGAAGCACCATAACAAATTGAAGCTTTCGTTGTTGACATGGCCAATGGCTCCTTGGGTTGCAGTCCTGGGGCTGGAGGCGCTTGATAATATTTGTCAAACTAAGCATCCATCTGAAGTTAGAGACCGCCAGGATACTTAAGGTTGAATAGTACTCACCACCGCCTGAAGACGAGCCCTCCCATCCGCGACCTTCATCTCAGTCCATCGCCGTTCAACATATGCTAACTTGTAGTTGGGGTCAAGAACTGTAACAAAATGAGACATGGACTTGAGCGAAAACTCGATACTTACCTAGACAGATAAAGAGGATGGTTGGGGCAATGGTACTTCATCGTCAGGATCGTTAAAGAAGGTAATTTCAGAAGCATCCTTAAGGGTGCCGTCAGCGTTCAGAGCGCAGCAGTCTTCAGACATCATGAGGCAAATAACTCACAAGTTTTTTGTTAGCACCTCGTTTTATGTGTGGAGGAGACCCTAACACCACAGAGCAACAATATCCAAGGAGATCTGTTAGAGATGACAACCGGTGGAGGATCATGCTTATCCAGGAAGCATATAGACTAGAACATGTAGATATCTGTGATATAGGTGAACATATGTCAGTCAGTAAGAGTTCTTGAGAGTAGATTGATTAGTACTTACCTTCAAAAAGGCTAACAGTAGCCCGATTAACAAATAATGCAAATCTCGAAGACGATGCTTTGATGTCGACATGGACACCGACGTCGTCGTTATTGAAGTCGAAGTTGAGGGAATTCGAAGTCAAGGAACGGTTCGGGAAGGTTCGGGAAAGTCGAACCAGAACCGGACCATTAGTGAAGGTCCAGAACCCAGAACCGTTTTCCGGTCCGGTTCTGGCTGGTGAGGGAACCATGGACCGAACCACAGAGAACCGGACCAAAAGTCCGGTTCGAACCGTGGTTCTGGACCGGACCGCGGCAGCACTAGTCACGTTGGGTGCGGCTTGCGTCAAGGCCGGTGGAGAGGAGGTTCGTTTTGACTGCGGGGGGATGTTTGCAGTGGTGGGACTCGCTTGTTGTGCCTGACGCTGATTCGCAGACTGAGTTGCTGTTCAAAAATATTCAGTACTTGCGGCACTGACGAAGTGAACGCTGAAAAATATTCAGTACTTGCGGCACTGACAAAGTGAACGCTGAAAATTAGTCAGTGTCACAAGTACTGACAGACGTGACTCTCACGTCAACACTGAAAATAATGGGTTCTTTTTTCAGTATCTACGTCACTGGAATATGTCACTCAGGGTTTCTCACGTTTATTTTCAGGGTATTTACTTCCCACAGTGCATGTCGGTGACTGGCAAGACATTCGAACGGTATTTGGAAGAGAAGGACAACAGTGTACGCGCAGATATCTGTTATTGTTATTCATTGTAGTTATTCGAAGGTGAATGAACGGATGCGTATGATATAAAATGTATGTAGGAGATTTCCGAACAATATTTGATCATATTGCGCTCGTCTGCTTCTATTACAACACGCTCTGTAGGTCCAGCTTGATACTTGCAGCCTTATTTCCAAGAAAGATTGGTCTAGACACACCATTTTTGACTCAGATGAGTGTAAGGTGACCTGTTACATAACGATAGAGAGCCGATTTATCCCGGAATGCACATCTTACACTGTTCCACACCTACGTAAGGGTCGTATTCTTGTCACAATCTAGGATCATTTGAGGATCCAAGTTTACCGCTATGTACGACTTCAGGTTGCCTGCAGGTGTCGATTTTGGGTGTACTATTTGCGCCTCAACCTGTTTGGAAATTCAGACAGAGCGCCGGCTCGACGATATAAGGACAACCTCGTTGCAGACTCGCACTCGGACTTCCTCCAAGCTCTTTGTACCATTGACATAGCTCAAGTCTAAGTTCCCCAGCCTTTCATATAACCACTTCATCATCACAAGCTTCTCTTGTTCAACAGACCATGTTGGACTTACTCTCCAAAGATCGAATAGTCAACGAGGCAGGCCTCAGAACCGCCTTGCGCCACCTAGACACAATTTCAAGTTCAGGAGCAACCGCATTACAAGCTACGGTCAAACATATGTCGTCATCACCCCATGTTTTTGCATATATTATTTCTGGTATCTCACGAACTTCCTTCGAGCGTCATCAGCTCTGACTCTGTAACAGTTTGGGATCGCCGTGAGGCAATGATCTCGCGGATCATGACAGACTTTCCAAGAATATCTCAAGAATATCCAACATCCGTTGCGAGAACGATGCTAGACAATCTATCTATGTACTTTTCAAACTTTCCAGCTGAGCCTCTAGCGATGGATGTCTCTAGGGACATCAGCCGCCACAGAGGCTTCATCGAGGACGCTTTACCCGTACTCTGCGCGTTGAACACTATGGAATTTTCTGGTGCAGGGTCGTTTGAAGACGAGATCGATCTCTTCAACCAATCTGATGATGGATTCGTCAAGAAGAAAGTCCCTCAGAAAATGTACAAGCGTAATCGCCCGAAAGCTCATACGTCTATCGATGCATCTCTCTTCCTGAGGCTTGATGTGGTTGTGCCTCTCACGAGCGAGGCTGCCGCATCATTGTCTACTCACATTCTTACGAAGCTGAAAAATACTCTCTCGGTGAGTATATTCTCTGCTTTTTGACGTTTCCCCTGACAACTCTCCATAAGTTCTATCTCTCGCTTCTGCGGAGGACGGAATTGGCAGGCGACATTCAAGCCTTACTCCTCCCAAACGTGGGCGAGTCTGCCATAAATGTTGCGCCTGAAGTTTCGTCAACCGAGGATGTCGAGAGCCCAACAACCCGACCCAAAGCGTACCAAATGGTGCAACCTATGAAGGCTGCGCTTTACTTTGAGAACGCGGACGGGTTCGGAGAGTGGCGAATCCTCATGTCTACGGAAGCCTACAAAAATTTGCGTGAATTACGTAAATCAGAAAAGAAGATATTCAAGATCATCGTCGGGAAGATCAAGTCTGTTTTCTGATGAAATTTACTGTAATGATCTCATCGTTATCACAGACAACTATCGAATGGTTATTTCTCAGATGATAATCACAAGCGACTTAACGGACCAGATGCAGGCATACCCATCTACGATGCCAAGATGACAAAGGACCTACGATTAGTTGTAAGTGTAATTTCACATACATCGATTAGAGCAGGGAGACGACTGATCTTTTCTCACAGTACCAGATTGATTGTGTCCCTGACCAGGATGGAAAGGTACGTCGTTCTTACATCAACATCGAGCATGATATTGAGACTGGAGTCTTGACAGTCCGAAAGACAAGGTGAACTGTCAAGAGCAATTACATCCGTCCGTCATTAGCACTCATATGAACTCCAGTAATCAAGGTATACGGCATTTATACGCATGCACAACTTGACAATATATGGGATGCCTTGGGTAGCCATCTCGCAAGCAAGGGCAGAGAATATCGTAGAAGGTGAGGACCTTTTTTGGCTCTTGATGCCTTTCAGTGAATCATTGCTTGCACAGGTGTATCTTTCGGAATAGACCTGTCCTTTCTAAAGACAGCGTGATTCTGCTGCCTGCATCATTCCCATCAGCTGAACCCGAGCCAGAATGCTCAGGAAGCCCACTTAATCTTAGTAATAAGGACATGGACCGAGTTGAGTACTTTCAGTTGTCATTTGTACAGTCATTGATCCATGGTATAGCTTCACTCTTTACTTGTGTATGAATTTTCGCCATCCTTGCTTAAAGTGGTTTCCATCTAACGATTTTCTAGTTTGGAGAAATATGTCACATTCTCGCAAGTAAGCTTATAAATACGATTCATAGGCACGCAAATATTGACTCGGTAACCTCTTGTTTTAGGCGTTCCTGCATAGTGAGTGATCATGTAGTTGGCTCGCCACCTCCTCTTATCTTTCCAAAAGGTCTTATCGCAAACCAAGACGTACAACACGTCTTTATACTCAAGTAAGTTCTACTCCAATGTGACGCGTTTACTGATCAATGTTTGTTCAGACCTCAAGAACAAGAGATTGTCGAGTGTACCACGTCATGTTATGTCTTGGGTCGCAGCGGCACGGGGTAAGTGTCCTGCCCCTAATATAAATAGCTTATTTATCACACTCAACTAGAAAAACCACGACGATGCTGTTCAAGATCCTCGGTATTCAGCGAGCTTGGGAGATGAGTGCCGCCGACATGCCGAAGCCACGCCAAATCTTCGTCACCAAATCCAGAGTACTCGCTAAGAAAGTGGAAGAGTATTTTACGAAGCTTCTCGAATCTCTGGCATTGGCAGGCTATACCCTGGAGGAACTTGCAAAAATGAAGGCACGAAGTGTCCAGGAGGGCCTTGTTGATCCCGACGACCTGCCCGAATCACAGATGAATATACCGATGAGATACAGCGGACTTAAGGATAAGCACTTTCCTCTTTTTCTAACTTTCGATCGAGTGCGTCCCAATCCGTCGTCTGGACAGTTCCCGAGCTAATCGTTTATGTAGCTGGCGAAAATGATCGCGGCAGATATCTTGGACAAGAAAGATAGCGCAGGAGCTTTCTTCAATGTTGACAATGCCGATGCGCATGACTGCTTCGTCACCTATAACGTATTCGCAAATCAATACTGGCCTCATTTTCCACAGAATCTCAGCAAGAATCTTAGTAGTGTCCTTTTCTCTTATGATGACAATAGAGTACTGACACTACCCCGTCAGATCCGTGGTTGGTTTTTAGCGAATTCATGGGTGAGTGCTATTTGTATTACATTGACACTGACAGTTTCTGAATACACATACAGGGATCATCAAAGGCTCCGAACACGCACTGACCTGTCCTGAAGGAATTCTCGATCGCCCAACCTACCTCCTTCTTCCTCATCGTTCTAACCCAAATTTTGCGAATAAGAGGGGAATTCTGTACGACATGTTCGAATTTTATACGAAAATGAAGAGGCAGCGACGTCATCATGACGTTGCAGACCGGTACGACCTACTCCCCTTCTTATCCAAGTAATGTCACGATATATTCCCAAACAGCACGCATGCAATACTCAAGGCCTTCCGCAGCAAGAAGTTACCTGTCCAACAGATCGATTATCTGTATGTGTTATCACCACCAATGCATCTTGCCCCTCACCACCTGCACTAGGTATGTTGACGAAGCACAAGACAACCTTCTGATCGACGCACTCCGTAAGTGGCTACTCCATCCTTTGTTGACATAATTCTTTGAAAGCTTTCTGTTATAGTTCTGAGGCAATTATGCAAGAATCCAGACGGATTGTTCTGGGCTGGGGACACCGCACAGACAATCTCTGCAGGGAGTTCCTTCAGGTTTGATGATCTGAAAGCGTTTCTCTACCGTGTTGAGGTCAGCAGACAACGACTTAGCTCGGGCCTGAATTGATACCTTGGAGCAGCAGCAAAATATTTCGGTCAATTCCGTTGGAGCATGTCTTCGTCAGCCTGCGATGTTTCAATTGGCGATCAACTACAGATCGCACGGTGGAATCGTCAACTGCGCAAGTTCTGTGATCGAACTCATCACAAAATTTTGGCCCAACACAATCGATAACCTTCAGCCAGAAAGGGGGGTGGTTGACGGGCTAAAGCCTGTATTTTTAACTGGTTGGGATAAAGACACTGTTCGTTATGAACAGTTCTTGTTCGGGGAGAGGTAAGCAAACCTGGACTATACCCCTCTTTTCCTCCTGAGAATTCTTCCAGCGGTAGCCATATTGAGTTCGGAGCCCAGCAATGTAAAATAATTGGTTGGAGGTTTCGTTCACACACTGACAAGGTATCTAGGCATTCTCGTGCGTGACGATGCTGCACGTCAGAAGTTACAAGACCAAGTTGGTGAAATTGCACTAATTATGTGAGTCGTATTGAGACTACCACCTTTGCTCTGTGTTTTCATGTTGACATATATATGCAGGACGCTTTATGAGAGCAAAGGCCTAGAATTCAATGACGTGAGAAAGTCAAGTTTACTATCTGATGGGTGTCTGACTTCGGTCAGGTGCTGTTGTACAACTTTTTCGAGGATTCTGCTGTAGATTTATCACGATGGAGCATAGTTCTCAATGGGGTAGACGGTCAAGGATATGCACCGAACTTTGAACGAGACGAGGCGCGATACGCTGGGGTTTGTAGCGAGGTGGGCACACCGATCCTTGAAATAAACTTTGGCTTACTTTATTAGCTCAAACTTCTGTATGTGGGAATCACTCGAGCAAGGAAGAACATATGGATCGTTGACAGATCTGACAAATCAGAGCCGATGCGTGTACGTTGAGAGCAGCATGTTGGCGTAACTCGATCTGATAACTATCTTCCTTCAGGTATTCTGGACGTCTCGTAACCAGATCGATAATTGTACCCCCGGCACCGATGTCCCTCATCTAGCCGTCTCATCGACTCCGGAAGAATGGGCATCCTTCGGGCACTCGCTATTCTTGGACAAGCACTACTCGCAGGCTATCTACTGCTTCAAACGTGCTAATCTTCGTCATGAAGTGAAGGTTTGTGAAGCACATCAACTGCGAGAAGTCGCACGTTCCAGCGTCGACCAAAAAAAGGCTTTTAACGTGGCTGCCGATTCCTTTACTGATTGCGCGGCGACCGCGCCAGAAAATCAGAAGCTCCAATACTATCGTAACTCGGCAGATTGCTACGTTCGAGCAGGAGATGATCTTAAAGCTGCTAAGGCCTATCTCAATGCTCAAGAGTTTGAGCAAGCAGCGAAGAGATTTCGCAAGGCTGGACGGTTTAACAAGACCCTCCATGTCCTCAATGACCATGGCACGGATATACCTGAAGAGACCAAGGCGGAGTTATGGACTGTGTGCAGGCTGTATTACTGCAGCAGGAACACTCGGTAAATCTTCCACTCTCCACAATATCTTTATTTAATAGCAATTGCGCAGGGCTCCCTTGCCCCTCTTCCCAACATTTGAAGAGCAACTCGAATTTCTGGAGGACTATGATCTCGATTACGCTCGTGCCTCGCTGCTTGAATCTCACTCGAGGTACTATGAGGCCGCAGAGCTTCATTTGTCAGAGAACAGGCCCTTGGAAGCTGTTCGGGCATTCATCAAGGACGACAGCAAGGACGATTCTACTAGCCGTGCGGCCGATACTATATTGGAATACTTTTGGCGCAAATGCTCCTTTAGAACCACTGCAAAATCCGTTGCTGATGAGCCAATGCAACATTTCATTGCTCTTGCTGATGAGCTGGAGACGAGCATACTAACGCCGGCCACGCGTGATCTAGTACGTGTCAACAGTCTCAAAGTGACCAGCTGAATAAAACTGATCGACATCCAGATGTCGATGTTTCAGAACATCTTGCGCGGAAATCATGAGCCGTTGAGAAATCTTGCGCTTAACTTCTATAAACAGGATAACAAGCCAGCAGCTCTCCTTTGCCTGGACCATATATTCTCTCGAACCACAGATATTCGAGCTTTCACGGTCGATGAAATGCAACGGTTTCTTCAACAATTTCACGCCTATGCGCGGCTGCTCTATCTTATTTTGACCTTCCCTGACCCCATGGAGCATAGGGGTATTCAGAGACTATTCTCCATCGTGCGGTTGTCCGGTGACCAGTTTCTCATACCAGATGGAACGTTCCTCCACAACAACTTAATGGAAATCCGCCAGGGGATCACTTGGGTATCGGAACACTCGTCCGGGTACACAGCTTCTCGTAGAGTCGTCACCCAGCTGCTGCAACAATCCATTCGAACCATCTTGAAAGAGAAAATATTGGAGATCGATGATATGTGCTGCAAATCTCCCGTTTTCTCGCAATGCCTGCAATTCTTGATATCCGGAGTATGTCGAAGAGATAACTGTCCCCAAGAGCATGTCACAGTATCGAAATTGGATCACCAGTATTACAACAACCGTGTTGCCATCCACATCTGGCAGATCCTGATCTTGCAATTCATGTATTCCGCTCACCCATACATTGAGCGACGCAAAAGGTACGCCTGGAGGTAGCTTATGATCGAGTACTCATACTGATCACTTTATCAGCATGCGGAATTGGCTCAAGCATCTTTACGAGGCTATCAATCCACCCTTCTTCATTCAAGGTTCCCCCGCGGAACTTGATATGAACATGATGCCTCTTCGTCCAGATAGCATGAAGGTGGTGAAGCTCTGGATCCGCGAATCCTTCTACTCGCTCGACCCATTCCATACCCAGGCTGAATTTTTGACGGCATTGATGAGAATAACCAGTCTAAGTTTTGCTTTTGACAGGAATGACGCACCTGTCTACATCCGTCAAGCAAAGTGTACGATCTCCGGACCGTTGGAACTCTTTCGCAAGGGGGACAATCGCTATATGGTTCAGGACCTGCTTAGTTCTTACCAAGGAGCGACCCGCAGCAGCATCTCATCGGGGATTCTGTATCTTTTGTAAGCGTTCTTATTGTCTCTACGTGCAATGAACTGAGTGCAATTCAGGCATGTTCTCGACAATCGTGTATGTGTCAACCTCTCCGTGTTGTGCGACTGTATCGAGGACGTCTGCGGCGCTTTTGTAATCAAGTACCGAATGGACCCCGACTATAACAGGTTTCCCCTTCATGACACCGTCCTTCCATGTAGCTGGCTACTGTTTCCCCACAAATTCACTACGGAGAAAGAAACTAAGCTGCCGTTGATGGACAAGCTTCTGGATGGGATAGCGAGGGTAGTGGAAGCATTGCGCGTAGAAGCCGGCATGGGTGAGTCTCTCAATCTTTTCGAAGATCCGAGACTACAAATAGGCAGATTTCCTTTGGCTGAACCATACGAGATTTACACCCATTCTCCGCAATATTTTCATTTCCCGGATGTGAGTCCGGTTTAGCATCTGTTCGTCAGCGATGTACTCATTGATCATATGTATTACAGCTGCAGGGTTCTCTGCCTTAGTACGTTTATTGTCTCTTTTCAAAAACCCATTCGCTGCTGAGTTGTATTCATTAGTTGCTCATAACATCAGGAAACCCTTCATCAGAGTCAAAATATACAGTATCATTCTTTCTCTGCACAAAAACAACCCGCCTTCGAATTGGCGTTCAGCGAACTATCGGAAACTGGTGGATGACGTGGTCAGGTACATGACACCCTTGCCAGGACGGGTGCCACTCTCAGACGCTTACCTGCGAGCTCTGCTGGCTTTCGACGATAATACAGGAGTGGGAAACCTGGTGCATCTCGTCCACAGAATGATGAACCAGCGTACCCGAGTCTATACTAGTATAGGCCGAAGGCTCGTATACGAGAAGACAATGGAGATCCCCCATCTCCTTTCATCGTACGCAGTGATCGCACAGTCTACCCTGAGAGTAGAGGCCCCTGCCTTCGTACCTGGCGTAGGACATTGCAAGGACCGACCAGAGGTTATGCAGCGTGATGAGCAAGAGATAACGGAACCACAACCCCAAGATTTCGAAGGAGAAGAAGAAGGGGAAGAGGATGTCACGGCGAATGCTGATACCGAGACCCGTGATGCGTCGGAGACTTTGGATGAGGCGGTGACGTTGCTTGCACCTGATCTTGATGAGTCGCTACGCACTAACGGACCATCGGTGGAGGAGGAAGAGGCGGCTCGCAAAATTCAGAACGCATATCGTTGTTACGCCAGACACCGCTCGAGTCGTGCAGTCAACGCCGAAATTGATGCGATGTTCATGACATGCCTGAAGGAGACGCAATCCCCTGAATGGCTTCGGGGTTATTACGGCTTCCTTTTCCTTGGACCGTTGCCTCACCTTCTGGTGTGCTTGGAACGAGGCATTGCTCTGACTCGCGCTGCCAAAGCGAAGACGAAAGGCCTTTTCAACAAGGAGTCTCATGAAAAGCTTGAGGAGTTGGGCAAGCAGAGAAGCGAGCTAGCGTCCGTCCTCCCTTACTCAGTGACATACAATAACTAACACCGTCCTGTTCACAGAGCGCTCCTCAGGAAGGGATTGAGATTACGCAGACAACTAGAACCTTCCTCACCCGCTCATCGTGACCATGGCATTGACGCACTGAAATCTGGTGTTCTAGAGGTCGATGAATTCATGCAGGGGGTTCCAGGCAATATGAAAGACATGCAATTCGACTTTCAAATGGCCTATAAAGGCATTGTCGCAAAGAAGGTCCCTCTGAAAAAGGAGAAAGAGAAACCTGCTCTCAATGTCGAGGATATGAACGACTGTTGATTTCGTTTATGTTGTGGAGTCCATTTTGTCGGTGTATCATATATCATATTGTACAGTGCGTATCTCCGTAAACCAATGCCTGCGCGCGCGCGAGAACAATAAACGAGCTTTCATCATGATCACTTTCACATGCAATTTACTTCAACTAATGCACCGCCGTCATGGCGACTTTACAACTTGGGCTAAAGATCACTTGGACTTGGATGCTAGGCTACTAGCTTGATAAGGGCGGGCGAACTTTACTTTTGATGGGGCCAATGGCAGAGGACGGTGTGGTTGGTGTTACCAGTGTGCGGATGACAGTGCTTAGAGGTGGACATACCTACGTGCTTTCGGGGATCCATATGAATGCTCCTCAGTGACTGCCCGCGTGGACTCGGAGAGCAATCGTCTAGTAGGATTTATTCTGTAGTGAGAAAGATAAAGGATGAGATGGTTTAGGTTCATGACCATAGATAAACGAGGAAAGAAGGAAGGCAGTCGTACCTTATAATGGAGGCGAACAAGTCCACAAGCGATTTGGTAGAAACAGGAAGGCTATTGGTGCATTGCAACACTTGACTAGTGACTGATAATACACTTTTCACTCTCAAGATCCACGATGGAAGGCGGTTACAATAGTAGTAAATATATTACAAGCATTATGAATTGCACTTAAGTGTTGTCCTTAAGCCTAATACGAAGGCATTGAGGCTGGAAGACGGGGCAAGTAAACTTTCTGTGACTGTTCATGATGTTTGCCACTTCCATCGCCTTTGCGCGTGCATCGAGCAGCCCTATAACATGACGTGGTCGTGCCCAATTGTCGGGCAGACGTTCTTCCCCGTACCACTGTGAAAGTACGCTTGAAGGGATGCGACCAGTATCTTGCTTAAGAAGCAACCAACACAAGGCTGCCTCAGCAGCCCCGATCTTGGAATGGATGAGGTCGAGTGGATGAGCCAGCTGGGCCTCGCGAGATATGCGCACTTGCGCGAGGTCATACAGACTCATGCCTCTTTGAGGATCTGCATGGCTTAAAAATGACTTGAGAAGATTTGGGTCGACCTCAGTAGGTGCACGCTGCTGACCCGATGCAGTCTGCATGAACGAGGGATGCGTCGTGTTCAATTTTGTTGTGGATAGCCAGTGCGTCAAGGTCCAAACGAAAGGCGTGACCACAAAGCAGGATTCCTGCCAAGGCGAGTAAGGCTGCCAATATAAAGGACAGGTTGTACACTTCTTGGACCTGCGTGTATCAGATGCCAGAGTCCAATGTTCTGTCCATTGCGGGGCCTGGTAATGGAGAATTTTAAGTTTGGAACAGCTGGAAGAGACGAAGAAAAACATACAAGTACCCATGATTTGCTAGTGCATTGAGTGCTGGACAAGGAGAACGTCGATCGCCCGGAGTAGCGGGGATGAAAGGATGTGAAGTCCGATTTGAAGTCGACATTTTGATACTCGGATTGATCCGGTGGCGTAGCCCCTGTGGCGTTAGCCTTTTTATACCATGATCCCCTATTTAAAATGCGGGTCTCATGAGTGCGTCATGTAATTCCAGTTGCAACGAGTCTGAGACATCCGCGCAACACAAAACTCCGCGGACATTCATTGTATTTGGTTTTATTTATCAAGATCTTTGAAGTCCGACATCTGCTAGTCGCCTAAGCCTGGTCCTCCTCGTTGCCCTGACCTCGAAGTATCTGGGCATGCGTATGCTTGTATGCATGGTTAGAGCAGTGGGGTTCAATTCAAGCCTTGTCCAGAGCGTATGAATATTGTGATATCCAAAATCTCATGACAAGGCTTAAATTGTCATATGCAGATCAACAGCCTTTGTATGACAGCGTAAAGGTGGAGCGAAAGAAAAGATTGAACGCGTAGAAGAGAGGATGTGGTCCATCTTTGGGGGTACGAAGTTAGAGAGTGGAGACTTTTGGTCGTGTAGCAAAGTCAGACGTTTAGCTAAATGGTGAAATCGAAATTCTGAAGAAGACATAAAACAAATCTTCGTGTACTCGAATAAAGAGTTGGAGGATTTGGTTGGTAGTCTAAAGCGTAAAGCGTCGCACAGAAGGGGAATGCGAAGAGGAAGAGAGCAAAATAAAAATGCGAATCTTCGAAGCGGAAGAGATACTTGAGTGTACGCGCACGGATCTGTCCCATTCTCGTCGAGAAGCACGAGAATGAGGATCTCCACATGGGCGCATACAAAGGCCCTTTTCACGTCCGTCAACGTTCGCAGGCTCACGATCCGTCCAGCAACCATCATGAGGTCTAGATGTTGTCACTCATCTTTTGTTACTAACTCATCCTTCCAGACTTTTGTTAGCACGGCTCGTTGTTATCTTGGTCTGCCAAATTTAAATGGCCTTGGCCACATGTATACGACCGCACCTGAGCTGCGCCCTCCCCGTTGCCGGGATGGGCCAGGATGAGTCTCGTTAGAAGGCTTCCACTCAGAGACACCGTTCCATTTGGAAGTAATTGGTGACTTTCGACACTGTACTGGCAGCGGAGGGAAAAACAGCAACCGTTTTGTCAATTTCGTTTGCTTATTGTGCTTGCTAGTGACCATTGATGCTGTCTGGATGGAGCCTGCAGTGGTGCGAACATTATGCGGTTGAGACAATGAATCATGGCGACTACAATCGTTATGCCATATGGGCTATTTGGCCCGTTGATCATCAACTACCTCAGAATCAGAATCATCCGTTTTCACATCAAGATTTGTTCCGATCGGTGCTACAGCTTCTTAGAGAAGAAGTGATCCGGTGGGGTTTGATTATTAGCTACGTTGCTGTTTCAGCCTTTCCGCGTCTAAGCGCTAATTTCAAATTCTATATGTAAGGTGGACCAAGGGCTTGAAACAGAGTTAATGATGGCAAAGAAAGTGGATGAGTAGAGACTCACCCTGCCGGAATACTCCAAGCGTAAACTCCACCACTAGAAGTAAAACACCACCTCCAGGCGCTAACCGGAGGACCTTTGGCAAGAAGCCCTTGTAAAGAGCTGCAGGACCCTCCTCACGCATAATGGTCATTAGTCTGTTACTTTGTTTAGTATCTCCCTCGATAGCGTAGGAAGAAACGTACGCAGGATATGTCCAATTATACTTTGGGGCAACTCCGGGGACTTTAGCAGCACCTTGGATGCGAGATTTCACGACCTAAATTTACATGTAGCGGTGTCATTGGCCAAACTGGGGTACTACAATGAAGAGCATACATCAAAGCTGACAGGCACATCAGTCACATTCACTAAATTTGCCGAATTGCAACTCACGGGGTATTCACGGCAGTTCCGACGAAGCCACCCACACTGCCAGAAACAAAATTATTGAACAGCTGCCCTTGCTGCGTCTAAACTAGGCGATGAGAAAAATACTACGAGACATTGCTGAAGACTTACCTCAGCTGGTGGCAGCATACCACGGACTTGATGAATACATCCAAAATATCCACCATTCCACCAGAAGTGCCTAGTCTCTTGGATCAATAATCAGGACGCTAGATTGTGAATCCATTCACCTCCAGAAAGTTGCCTCCATGCCGGCATAGAGACCAAGAGGACCTTCCTTCTTGATAACCTGCTTGACTACATCAATGGGACCAGCGAATGTACTACTTTTATCTTGCAGCCTATTGACATCGGTTAGAAGTAAAAATAGAACGTATGATAACGATGATCGCACTTAATCTTGACAAGCTCAAATGGGACAACAACAAAACTCTCTGTTGCACCAGCACTACACCCTGTTAAAATAGAGAGTTCTTGTGTCATCTTAGACTCTCCAGAGAGGCCCATGTAAGTCTTCCCCCAGAAGTCGTTGGAAGCACTGCAAGGCAATGAGACAATACATCGGAATACCTGCGAGAACCTAACTCACAACTTAACCGCGCGCTTTGGCGCCTCGAGAAGAAGAGGTGGGACCAAACCTGTAAACAAAGTTCAAGGCTCCGTAACGAGAACTGTAAGCGTATTCTTGACCTCGGTAAAGTCGGCCGAAACTGACGAGGATATCAGCAGCGTGGTCGCGTGAGCATCGTGATGTCACGACTTTACCCTTCTTCCCGCACTATAGATGATAGAGTGCCAACCATGCCATGCTTGGCCTTTCCGGTCTCAAGCTGCATACGAGTTTTCACCTGAGTCACGGTCCGTCATCGGCCCAAGCGTCATATGCACAGGTATACTTACGACATCTAAATTATGAGTGAGCGGGCGTCTTATGAGATGAATACGACTCACCTAGAGGGTAAAATGTCAAAATCTCGGAGACACCAGCAATTGCACCGGCGGCGAAATTCGCAACGAAAGGGAGTGCTATAGTTTATTCTGTCAGCAAGGTCTCAAGTACGGCGCCTAGTATGGTGCAAGTTGCCTAACTCACGTTTCCGCTGATCCGTAGCCATTATACTTGGTTTTGGTCGATAAGGCTGAAGTCAAGAAGGAAAAGGGAACCGTTCAAGAGTTCGGAACACAATCGGACGAGAATCGGACGTAGAACGCGAATACGGCACGCGAACCGTTGAAAATTCAGGAATCAGAATTGCCTCTCTGCTCGTGACCATTGATGTGTGACAGCGTGACATCCTGTGACCAAACCTTGCCTTACTGATGGACTTCATCAACTTACGAGCACGCGCGTTACTCATGCGAGGATGGTATACATCGCCTCCTGGCAAGAGTTTCAGGAAGCAGCTGAAAACCTTTACACAAAATCTCCCAACAAAGTTTTTCTTTTCAACATCTATCGCTGTCTGACGCTGATGATGTCCCCACAGGCTCGATATTGTGTGAAATGGAGATCATCAGAGGGCAAGCTCGTCCTGAAGATTACAGATGATACGACAGTGTGTCGTGATCTCATTTCATTATGAATCTACATCTTACTTATCATATCTCATACATCTCTAGTGCATAAAGTTCAAAACTTACTCCTCAATCTTCCTCAATCGATTCGAGGCTCTGAACCTATCGCTAATGCAGAAAATGCAGAATAAACGCCCTACACCAATCGTACATGCCCTAGGTGCACCTGATACCACCAAGGACGCAGACCAGACACGCTCGTCGTCTCCGTTCGTTGCACAACCCGCAGGTCCTGCATCTGGAGGCGTCAAGAAGAAAAAGCCAAAGAAGAAGAAGTAGGAGCAACATTGCTATGCGGCTTCTGGTAAGTCCGCCGCAATGGCCTAGCTATTACATATTTGTCTGATGACGTCTCTCAGCTTAGTGGTTTTATGGGAGCGTAATCTCCTGAGGTGGAGCGAACATGCACAGTTATTATCAGAGCGAGACCATCGTTTATAGATCTGATTTGTCAATAAGCCGTTGGTCGTTTGAACGGCGCAAGGTCCCAACGCCCGATCGATCATGAAATGTTCATCACCGCTACCTTGTTCTGATGCAAGAGGCAAAATAGGTCAGCCATCCGTATGGGAACAATGGAAATAGACACACAACGTCTAGCTTCGGCGTTGCACAGGCTTGCTATAGCACTAAACTATAGAACTTACGGATCAAACGACGGTGCCTTGGAGCACCCAGTGCTGATCCACTAGATTGTTAATAGTGCTTGATGAGATGGTGATATGGTTGATCAGCACACGCAGTCGTGCGCACCCACGATAATGGCGTTCGCCAATGGAGGGTACAAGATGATAGCCTAAATGATAACGGTTAATGTAGAGCCGGGGCACAGGCGTTCATCATAAACCCCAATGTCCACTGGAGGCGGAAGACTCGCAACCGGAAGCTTGACATGGTCAACATGTGGATGTGATGTAAATTAGCCTCACGGCGCATCATCCGATCTTAAAGGCGGTACAGAGGGAACTATTCCGAGGGTGATCTGCGAAAACCCCGGGGTGGGTCTCCGGGGACACCATGCCAGTACCAGGTACAATCTATAAGAGAAGCGCGGTGCAACACCAAATCTTTTTAGGGCCTAAAGAGGGGTTACCGTACTCGACTGATGTGTCACAGATCCATGAACTAGTGAATACGCCGTTAAGACTTGAAGTGAGTTCTATTCACAGGGTCCGGCTTAAAAGTAATTATCCGATATGATGTGGATCCGGCTCTTTGTCGTTAGTAGAAAAAGTACTAGTGAAATGACTCAAGATACGCACCAGTACGAAAACAAATTGCGTATTTAAAGGAAACATGGAGCTTGGTTGAGACCCTAGTCACAACTTGTGGAGGTCGCTATTTGCCGACTCCCTGAGACGACAGCTTTCTCATGGACGCACAGAACAAGGCATCTCGTGACATAGGATTCCGCAGATTGTTCATCAAAAATAGAGACTGGTTGATAGTGGATGATAACGGCGAAAAGCGAAAAAAAAAAAAAGTGCATGACAGCATATATCAGGGTGCTTGATGAGCCACAATTTTACCAAGTAATTTGGTACATACCGATTGCAGCGGGGAGATTACTCCGAGGATCCCATCATATATAGTCAGCGGAGTTCTAGCTGATGCAATTTTAGATGGCACAACAGTGGTAAAAGTCTGTAAAGAGTGAGAACGGAATCGAACCACAAGCGAGATGTGAACATGTGAACGTTCATCGATGCAAATTGGTATTTCTGTGAACTCGACCTAATTGGCAGCAGTAACTGGTGCGACGCCGGGCAAGGACAAGCTGGACCCTGGTGCGAAGTAGCAAGATAGCCTGCGAAAGTGAGCAAAAAAAAGATTGTAACACAGGAGTAACAGGACTCAGTATTCAGATCTGATACCATCGCAAGGTGACAATATTTAGCTTCTCCTGGAACCGGTTCTGGATGCCAGTGGGCTGAAATTAATCAACTGGGAATGAAGGAGGGAAGTGGGGAGCTTTTCAAACAGTCCTCAGAGAAGAGGCTTTGGAACCAATGTCTCATATGTACATGTCACTTGACATGAAGTTACTGTCCCCAACAACACTCCCTTATTGATGTCAATGGGGCGTCGTTTGCAGAATAAGTCTAAGCATGGTGCAGGATGTTAGAAATGATACAATGATCGCGCAAAGAAAGACAATTGAGTCCGCAGTTTGTTATATGTTTTTGAAGGGCCGACACGGCGTTGGTCCAGCTTGGGCAACTGGCCATGGCACAGCTGGTTTCCATAAATACGTGTACATAAATAATGTCCGGTCACTGTCATTGGCATCGTCAACACCCTTCAGCTTCCGATTCCAGGTACTAAGCACTCGACGCTGCATATTCTACGCGCATTGCGGGCGCCTCAAGTTATCGGGAACACCTCATATACCCAAGTTCAATAACTAGTCGAATGCATTGCATTGAGAGGACATCGAGCTCATTCATAAAGGGCACTGATTTCTTCTACCTTTAGTGCGAGAGGTAAGCCGTGTGGTTATATTCCTATTCTGATATGCCTTCATCTCCATACCCGCCAACAGTCATTCTTCCGCTACTTGGTCTTCTGATACGTACTTTCTTCAAATCGCATTGCTCATGGCGCTTCGACGGTATACAGCATCAATCGATGGTACCATTCCAGTTCCTGCACTCCTCTATGACGATGAAGAACATCTGGCATCCCAGGATGGCGTAGGTATATATGATGGGTGCGTGTACTTTCTGGCTTTGACCTGGTGCATTGGTTTCCGTGTTCATGTTACCAATTAACAGTCTGCAGAAAGCTCCCGACTATCAGACAGGTTCTGTTCACGTCTCTACGCATCGCCTATTTTTCGTTCATTCGCAGAACCCTACATCATATTCTTTTACTATGGATCTACTTCATGTGACACGGACGAATTATTATGCCGGTTTGTTCAAATCTTCGCCGAAGGTCTCACTCTTCCTCGACGCCAGCACTGCCTTACCTTTGGCTACAACGTCCGGGCAGCGAACAGAAATATTCGAGAGCTGGGAATGCGAAGTTTGCAGCCATCGCAATCCTCCAGGTTTGAGTCCAGCCGCGGCTCGAATATGTGCTCTATGTGGCGTTCCGCGCAGCGCATCTGCGGTGTCAACAGCGTCGGAGGCATCATCTCAAATTCAATCATTGTTCTCCTCCATTCCCGAGTCTCCATACACCTCTCTATCTTCTTCAAGTTCTCCAGGACCTCCATCTCCTCCATCAACGAATGATGATTCTGATGGAATTGCATGTCCTGCATGTACCTTCCTTAATCACCCGTCTTTGCGTGTCTGCGAAATATGCACAACGCTGCTTCCCAATATTGAACATGCCGGGAATGTGAGGGCGAAATCTGCCCCCTCCACTCGACCAGTATCACCCATAAGTGACAGCATCGATCCCGCGAATCTCCTCATCAAATTAAGTTTCCGCAAAGGTGGTGACAAACCATTTTACAACGTACTCAGGCGTGCACTTAGATCTCGGGCTTGGGAGGCAAGCATGGTGCCATGATTTCAACAGAAATATAACTAATTGCATATCCATATCCTGGCAATTAGGGCAAACGAATTGGTCATAATGCGAGAAGCGGGCCTTCTAGCCTTGCCATTACAAATCCTAATTACGGACCGACACCCGTTGCCATGCGTCCTTCTGGAATAGGTGGGGAATTTGATTTTTGTTGGTACCGCCGGCGCTCACATTGATGGTCGGTTCTCAAGATGGAATTATGCGTAACGTAGAAGCTTCGGCTTATGTTACACAAACGGATCTAAACGATGCCCTGAAAGACTTGGAGGGCTTAATGATGAAAGCCAAGGATCTCGTTCACCTCGCGGGGGAGCTGAATGAGAAACTTACTGCATCCTCTACAATAACTACGACATCAACACTTGCTTCTCCATTTCCGACGACCTCATCCCCATCAACTCCAGGCACCCAATTGTCAAGTCCATTTTCGGCGACCACGCTTGTTCCCTCTACGGAGCCCGAAGAAGCCAAATTTATACGTTCTTCACTTGCGCAGCTTGGCTTACAGATGTCTAATGCCCCCGTCACGCTGGACATGATCAGGGACGAAAGGAGATGGATAGAAGAGTTGGCGCGGGAACTGGCAGGGGTGTTGCAAGGATTTCCGGATGATATTCCCGGTCAGAAATCGGTCGGAATTATGAGAGATCGAGGGATTGTTGGATTAGATGAGGTCTGGGGCGGATGGAATCGTGCGAGAGGCGTAGGTAAGGGAACCCTTTTGACACTGCCCAAGTGAGCTACTGAACACACATTTTACGCAGCTTTAATTCCGCCATCCACCTTTTTGCAAGTACTCCCTCACCTCCCGGCATACACGTCACCGCCTGTCCGCAGCAGAGTGTTTAATTCAGGCTTATCCGTGCTCCATATTCCGCCTTACACCCACGCTTCGTTCACGGCTCGCATAGTGGGTTATCTCGCCATGTCTGGTGTAATGACGACAAGTCAGATTGCCCGCGAGGAGAATATCACGATCGGACTTGCAGATGAAATGATCGCTGCTATTGAAGCTGATGGTGTGATTTGCCGGGATGATGAAAGATCGGCAATCAAGGGGGGCGGAAGTGGGACTACATCAGAAGTCAGGTGGTCGAGGAACCTCTTTCTGGAATATATTTGGGATGGCCAATTGTGAAGATGCTTACATTAAAGTTTGCAGCTACTGCCGTATAGACCGCAGGCGAGTTGTTGACGAGTGTTGGTTGGTAGATGCTGCGGACCATTATAAGAAACGACTCGGGCAACTCGGGAGAGGTGGAAAAACAGGGTGACCCTACAAGCTCCGTCAGCAAATAATTGTCAATGGAAGCCATAACGTTGCTTTGATTTGCGAGCGAAGAACTCGACCTCTGGTCCTAACGTTTTTCTGGCTTGCAAACGATTAATGAATTTCATCAGTTCTAGCATGTTTGGCAAAGGCTTTAGAACCAAACAAACGCCCGATCGATCGACCGATTACCTATTTTGGGCGCTTCAATATCGCAGCGCTAGCTCGGTAAAGAACCGTCATTACCACGTGCACTACAGTAAGGCGGGACCTATTCTGCTCAGCACCGATTATCCCGCAGCTTATGTGTATGTGATGTCTGAGGCCCTGAGCTTGCTTCCGAATTGATACTGTCCCGTAAGTCAAGGACTCAACTATCTCAACCGCCGGTATCATGAACCGAGAAACAGCTACTAGAGTCTAGACTGTCGGCGCGCCGACTGGTTACTTCATCGGTACGGTTTTCATTCCGACA